AGTGGAGGGTTTTCGCGCGGGAATTAAGGAAACCCGAACGGAAACATCAATTTCACCCTTTTCCTCTCGGACGGCCTCTTCTCAGATGACCTCCTATATTTTAAGGCTATTTAATTTCATAATATTTCTCGAGATATGTAATTTATTAAAACAATTTATTCATTTAAATAAGTGTTTAGCCGGGAAATCTTATTTAAAGGACTTTCCTTGCTGCAAAATAAATAAAGAGAGAGAGACAGAGTGAATCGGCGGACAGCCTTGCAAAACTATGATTTTTTTAAAATTGATTCAAAATAAAATACAATCAGGGTTTGCTGATATATATCAATGGATATATATCGAACCGTGATGGCTTTGGGGTTAGAGTGTTCGCCATCCATTGTGGGGACCGGGTTCGAATCCCAGCGATGACTGGTCGATACGAACTCCGCATCCGGCTTGCACCGACCACAATAGTGACGTAAAATATCCTCAGTGGTATATAGAATTTTCGGTCAAAGTTTAAATTATCCCTATGTCATCTCAAGATATCTATTATAGACTGCTATAACACATACTATCATTCTTTTTACACTTTATCTCCTTGTAACAATCTAGTTATAGATTGCTCCTACTCCTACTTTCTTATAAAAATCCATTCTTTTGACTATATTTGATTTCAACCACCCTACTTTTTACTAGGGAAGCATGAAATTCCGTGAGATAACCAAGCTAGATCTAACCAATAGTAATGGTTCAGTGTACAGATGTTTGCTTGTAGGTTTTTGGTAAACAGTACTGTTAAAAAATTTTTAAAAAAATGCCGAGTTTAAAAGATGCTATTTGGAACCAATTTGTTTAATCCGAGCTACGTGATCTATTAGAGATTGAATATTTTGAGGTTTGTCAGCTTGAAACGTTTGGTTTCTGCCCAATGGCAAAAATAATTGAGTACATATGTTCTGTATAGTGATTGAAGGTTTTTACTCTTTAGTTGAGATTTAGTTTGAGCTAATTTCTATTGACCTATGCAGAGTAGTATGAGTGTCTCCTGAAATTGTTAACCAAAGCATACTGATAATGTTCTAGAGAATTTCATACATACATATGCCTTTATAATTTGATCGTTAAAAAGCTTTACGAATTCAAAATTTACGATCACAACAGAGTTAGAATTAAAAAAAAGTTTTAAGTATGTTGAAAGAAGCGTTTATGGCATTTGGGCCTTAAAATATCTTATTTTATTGCATTTGAGTGTGACTATAGAAGGAGGAAATCTGTCAGAACTAAAAAAAGTCGGGGAATTTTAATCAACTCCAAGAATAAGAAAAAATGGCTTAATTTAGGTTTGAAGAAGGCTCATTTATGCTTCTAACATTATCGGTGCAAATTTTTAATTTTTTTATGGTGCTTAAAATTGATTCATTTTATGTAAATAAATTGATGTCTAGTGCAGGTGTTTTTTTAAAACCTTATTCCTAGGTATTTATTATATTTTTAACTTATGCTAACTACATTAAATGTTTCCCGTAGTGAGCTATCAGCTACATTCACAGTTCTGTCATCATTATTTACATACAACAAAACAAAAACAAAAAAAGTGTGCGTGTCCTTTACTATCTATTTACTGCTGTTTGCCTAAATGTTTTCGCTTAGCATGTTTGTTTAGTTTATTCTTCTATTCTTGAATTTAATTATTTTGAATTGAATTCTGAAAAGATAATGTGAAAACACTTTTTAAACGAAAACTTATGTCGCACTGAATGATTCATAAGCCATTTGACATTGAATTGTCTGAACATAAGTCATTAAATTCTCATCTAAAAAATATTTGAAATTTCCTTTCGGGGCTAGAGCTATTAATATAAATCGAAACTTTTCCTTGAATTTTTTCTTATTATTATTTAAGCATACCTTATGTTATAGCGTTTAATTACTCCCCACCAAAGTTTGTCAACAAGAGTGGCGCCCAGTCTAATTGGATGACCTATACCTCGGGAATAAAGATAGTAACAGCCATGACCTTATTGATATCTTCTCACTGTAATTATATCCCTCACCCATGTGATGCAATCAATCAATATTCCCTAGGCGCGTATTATCATAAGAAATTACCGCTAAGAAAATTCATCGATTTATGTGGGTCATTCAATTTGTCAATCTTACAATTAAGATAAATAATTCAAATATTTTTCTAATGAATAAATAGTGTTTATGATTAAAAAAAAATTTTTTTTGTTGTTAATTTCGCTCATTAATGTATACGGAAGGCGTATAGATACATTCTCATACAAGAAAATTTTTCTAGCAATTGGCTCTTTTTTTAATTTTTATTTTTTTAAATTTTTTTTAAAAAAGTAATAATAATGGTTATGGATGTGATGTAATCTGGGATTGTATATAAAATAAAATTTTTAAAAAATTCAATAATTGTACCTTGAAAAATTTAATCCCACATTTAATTTTTAAAAGTTTTCTGTAACAGGTAAGTTTGTGGTTGTTTAAAGCTATTTTTACATAAGTTGTGGTTTCATTCATTCCTCTCCTCTTATCTTTAAAGATGCTTTTTACTTCATTTTTAATGTACTTGGAAATTTGCAACTCTTACAAAAAGTAACGCTTTGTGATTTAAAATTAACCATACGTTTCAATATACTTTCAGCGAATCCTTTTCCTCACATTTTTTCTGAAAATTTTTGTAACATGTTATTGAGTCAGTATTTAGGAAAAATGGTATATATGTGGAGTTTTTCTTTTCAAAACTTTGATGTCTTCTATATTGTTTGAGTTTTACTTGAAAGTTACCGTATTAATTTTAAAACGTATCCACTTTTGTTACCATGCAATTTTTATTTTTTAATTATTATTATTTTTTTAATTACTGATTTGAAATTTGGGATTTTTAAGAAATCGTTCTCGGAATTTCGGGATTTTTTTTTATTTGTGCGTACCGGCAACATCTTATGCATATTTCTTACTGTTTTGACTCACATAATTACACAATATGTAAAAAAAATCAATAATATTTTTGCAGGATTAATTGATATTAGTTATTTAGAGTTTTTTTTATTCTATAACTATAAAGGTAAATGGATAAATTATTATTAGGAATTTCGAAAATGGTCTTAAGAATATCGATTTTTTTTTTGTACTCTTTAAATCTTGGAGAGGTTTAGCAGGATTCCATTTTATTGTCATTTTTATATAGATAAATAATGAATTAATGAGTAATTTTGTAATTTCACGACGTTAAATAATTATCAAAACACGTATTTTCTAAAAGAAACTTGTGGCTATTCTTCAAGAAGATGTGGCTTCTGACAAAGTTTGTTCACCTGTTTTTTTTTGTTGTCGTGCATCACGCCGTAATTCAAATCATTTGACTATTCTGGTAAAATTCTAGGAATTCTAAACATTGGGTATTCCAATGTTGTGCTTGATATGGCCTAATTGATATTTCTTCATTTTACTGAGCGTGCTAAAATATCCTTTTGACATATTTTTTTTCCATCTCCACTGAATTACTTATGAAACGCTATTGTACTATTTTCACCCCATTGTTCGACGCGTTTAAAACTTTATTTTCTGTAAAAAATGTCCATTTTAATGTGTCTACACCAAAGCATCTTAAAAAAACTTTTTTTTCCCCTTCACTTTTTTGTTTGTGGAGTTTAAAATTTACTAAGGAAGAATAGACAATAGAATTATTACAAAAAATTGTTTTGTTCAATGTTATGTTATTTTAGTCATCTATTTTTAAAAAGAAAAGTTAAAATTTATTTCTATTTTTTTAAGAAAGAGGGAGAGAGTGAAAGTTCTTAGATAAGTTTTTATTCAGATCTTGTAAGTCATATTATACGTGGGTTTTATTCACTTCCTCATAATAAATTAGTTAATTAGATTGTTTCCTAGGCTATTATAGAATTTCTGTTAATGAGCTAAATTATCGTTTGCAATTTCCTTTTTTTTTTGTTTAAATTCCTGGTACTCACTTGTTATATAATTTTATTTTTTTTATTTTTATTTATGAGGACAAATGATACTCTGACTTAATCATCATTAATTTTTTCAGATTCTGTTTTCGTCAAAAAGTGTGTAAGTTACAACTCATTGTCCTTAGTGTTCAGTTTAAAGTGGTGTGAAATTTTACACATAAAAGTTTTATCTGAAATATTTTAAAGATTGTATATCTTTTAATGAATACATATTTGTTGTGAAGAATACAAACTAGTTTTTTTTTAAAAATTATTTAATAATGTTTTCTTTTCATTAAAAAGTGTTAATTCTTGAATAGAATGACATAGAGAATTCTGTCCGACTCTCGATTTTGAAATCCCGATGTCTTTCATTGCTCAGTTATTATTTATATTCTCGTGAATTTTTGAAATATACCGATATTATTACGGCAAGCGAAATTCGAATCGCGGTTTCAAGAAATCATTCTTTGACAGGCTCGCTTTGCGGCGATATTCTTGTTATCCACGTGTTATATTCGCGTAATTTCACTGACGATCTTTTTTCGGTAGTCACTGCTACGGATTACACGAATTTTAATTTTTTTTGTTGATGTGATGATGATTTACGAAATGCGAAAAAGGAAATGATTAGTTAGAATCTCGCCCATGATATTAGAACAAAAAAAAAAAAAAAAAATTACATATTCATTTAAAAATAAAATACAATTTTATTTTATTCAAATGTTTTTTTTAAGCGCAACGTTTCTGTTTAATTAGTAATACGTATATTTGTTATTATTAAAAGCATCTTGCAGAAAGATATCAGTGCTAGAGAGGTTTGTCGCAGAAAGCTCAAAAAATTCTGCCACAGGGCCTATTGAAAAGAATATTATTTGAAAGTAATATTTAGCCTGCCAATATTGAATATTTTTTTCAGGTGTAATAAAATTTTTATATTTGGTTTTGAATGTATTTTTTAGGATTAATGTGCTTCCTTAAATTAAAAATGCATTTGCATTATTTATTAATTTTTTTAATTTTTCCATACTTTGATTTTAATTACAGCATTTGAAAAGAGGGAAGACAGTGGATGAAATTAGAATTTTAAACTCTGGAGTTGTAAAACTAGGATGGATTCAAGGTGTTTTAGTAAGTCAGCTCCTTTCTTATATTTGTAACTTGCTTTTGCTGTATTTTTTAAAGCTTACTTAATGTTATTATGTACTTATGTTATTATGTACTTAATGTTATTACAGATAGAGATAATTTAGATTTTTGATATTATTATTATATTTTTTAATTGAATTTTATTATTTGAAATGTATTTATTTTGTGTTTCAGTATTAGTCCGACCATAATTACTTTCTGTAATTATGGTCAGCCTATGATAGCTGAACATTTGGATGTGTGCCATGAACTAAGTGGCTATATTTGTATTGTCGAAAAGTATTGGAGCACTAATGGTTTATATGCTATTGATTGTAGTGTGTGGCACATGTATTTAAAAAAAATTTAAAAAAAACTGGTACCAGTTATTTTTATAGCATGTAACCTTGATTTATCTTCATTATAACTTGAGGAGTTTTATAAATGTCTTTTATTTCCACAAAAGAATTTGCAAAGTAAAATATTACAACAACAGAAGAAATATTTAAAAAATTAAAACTGCTCAGTAGAAAAGAAAACTACTTAGAAATTATTTAGAGAAGACTACTTAGTGATCATTAAAGAAATAATGCAAGAAGGGATTTAGATTCAGGATTGGACATTTGTCCGGAGAAACTTACTTTTTCCATGAAAAAAAAAAAAAAAAACGGAAAGAAATTTAAGTAATGAAGTCTAAAATGGCTACAAACAGAGATTAGACATGCTCACCCAGAGTCGAGGTCCAACACAGGCTCTAGTTAATTTACTGAAAAAAGGTTTAGGACTCCAGCAAACTTGGAATCATGATAAAATTTTCATAACTTTTTTTACTATATTTAAATGAGCATTTGGAGCAGTTATTAAGTTTAAAAATCTGAAATTTATTAATTATGATAAAAAGATTTTAATGACTAATTTCCTTATTTAGGCATCGAAGCCAGAGTGGTGAGACTGCGAAATTTGGCTTTTATATGTGTAACTCGGGCAAGCTCTAATTAAACCTATATATCGCGGGCTCGGATTAAAATTCTTCCGGCTCAGGTTGGCTTATACCTCCTAAAACTAGCCCAAACTCATCTCTACTACAGAGAATATATTTAAAATGAACGATATTTCTCTAAACTGAGAATAAGATTTAGTTAAAAATTATAGTTACTACCCATATAACTTTTTTTATTCAAAATAATTTGTTTGTCCATTTTTTTTTTTAAAATGTTAGTTTAAATTCTTTTTAAATTCAAATGATATTTTGTTTGCTTAGTCTTTTCTGTATTAAGCCTATTTGCTTAATTTAAATTTTTTTTTTTTAAAAAAAAAATTCAGTAATATTTTTGTGAAATTTTAAATTTTTTGACATAAGAAAAAAAGTATTAATCAGTACAATTTTATTTTTACTTGAAAGAGTTATTTTCCTAACTGCGAACAAAATGCAGTTAAAACAGTTAAACAGTTAAATGCAGTTAGTTTATATATCAGTTGAATGTTTTAATTTTTTATAATGTTAATTTTTTTATTGTGTTTTTTTTTTTTTTTTTTNTTATAAGTATTTAGTTATTGTTTAAAATTATCATTTATATCTGAATTAAATTTATTACTGTACTGCAGAGGTGCAGAAAGTTTTCTGTCTAATATTTCTCCAGAATTGATATTTTTTTGGTTTGAAATCTTCCCAAAAATTATTGCGCTTTTTTTTAAATTGCAATATTTTTTAAAAATTATATTTTAGAAATTTGGTTTGTATATTATTGAAGTTTTTTGATAATGATTTTTAAAAAACAAAGAAAACTAATTCATTTGATTTCATACAATTCTCGAATTAACTAGCATATGTCTTAAAACTAATATAAATTACATTAAAATAGTTATAATTTATAAAATTGAACTTAAGGTCCCACTCATAAATTTTAAGATATTCAAACTAATATATAAACAAATTGACATATAAAGTTATTTGTGTTATATTTAACATAACAGAAAATATTCTTTTTTTCCTTTTAGAGAGTAAGTTGAAGTGGCATAAGGAATATATTAAAATAAACTTTAACAAATTTATATTTTAAAATTTAAATGATGACATACTTTTCCATTTCTCATGTGCTGTATTTGTTCATAATACTACATTTTTAATGTAGCAAAATAACTATATTTAATCATAGTTAGGAAAATTGAGCAGTCTATTTTTTATTAGACCAAAAATTTCTCCATAGCTGCCTGAATTTGCATTTAACCTCATTCACGATTGGACATATTTTGATCTCCTGCTGTACTGCTTTCTATTCAAAATAAAATATTGATTTTACTAATATAATATTTTACAACTTTTCTTAGTTTTTAATTAAATTTACGTTATGAAATTTTAATTAAGTATTTAGTTAAGTTTTGCAATATTTTGTAAAAATGTAATAACTGGTAATTTGTAAGATCAAGTGTTTCAATTTTTACTCACAAACAATTTTATGTATTATAACAAGCACAAAATAAATTATTGCATCCATTTTAATACATATTGATGTAACTTTGTTTATAGTTACAGATGGTGAGTAAAATAAAATAAATAAAAAGTTAAACTACATTATCAGAGTTTTTGTTATAGTAGTTTGATTTTTACAGACCAATATCTTTGTTTCCAGAGAGAGAAAAAAAGGTGAGAGGAAAAATTAGATTTCACTTAAAATATTTCGCTAAAAATTATAAAACACCAAACTTTTAATTATGCATTTAAAACACATAATTTTAATTTTATATATATTCCCGATATAATAGTTCGTCTGTGAATACTTTTTTATATCTCCTACATGAACCATCTATTACAATTCTACACAATGAAAGTAAAAGCAGATTTCAAACAAGAAAACTATGGTGAATGCATTTGTTAACCCTTTGTAAAGAAATTCACTAAGATTATGAATCCTTATAGGAGACTCTAATTTCCACACAAGGATGCTATACTCACTTCTAATTCTAAGTAATGAAAAGTCTTTTGTACCATAGATTACACTTCTAAGACCACCTAGGAAAAAATAGTTGTCACTCTTTCTGTATTCATGGAAAATTCAAGATATTTCACAACAAACGGGAAAGGTATCGGTAATGGAAGAGTTGTACTAAGACCATAGACTGTGTTAATTTTTTTTAAAAAACATTTTTGAATATTGTTATTACGTTACACAAAATAATGCTAACATGTTTATGATTAATGTGAAAAACTTCATTTTCAGAGATTAAATATGTTTTCTTTAATCTTTTAAATAATTAATCTTAGTTATATTTTCATGCAAATTTATGTAAAAAAAAATTCAAATAAATACAGCTAAATTATTAAGATACCTCTTGTCTTACTTTTAAGAAATGTTTCTTATTAAAAAAAAGTTCTGAAATAACATTTTATTCACAGGTCCGATGTCTGCTAAACATATGGGGCGTCATGCTTTTCCTCAGATTGTCTTGGGTAGTTGGACAAGCTGGAATTGGTATTAAGTTAAATAATATTTCAATCATATTACTGCTACATATTTACTGAATTTTAGTAAAGCATGTTAGGTTAATATTGCAAAATGTTTTTAGTAAAAGAAGCTGTCAAATTTTTTGTTGAAAGTTCTTTTCTTGCTTTCTGTGTAAAGCACACCCAAGTTTTGCAAGTGTGTAAAGAAAAAATATGTATACAATTTTCGTATGCATGTAATTAAATTTAAAAATATTTTTATTTTCAGGCTTAGCAATTATGATTATTCTCTTGGCTACTGTTGTCACAGTTTTGACATCACTATCAATGTCTGCTATTTGTACAAATGGAGAAGTAAAAGGAGGTAAGTGAGATATTGAAAAAAGAAAAACATTACTAATGATAGAATGCTTTGTATTAAAATAATTGCATCTACTTGTATATAAGTTTATTCTCAATAATTGCAGTTACATACAAAACGATAAAAAAAAAGTAATTTTTGATTTTCTAAAAGTATGTGCAGGCATTTATTTATTTATTATTTTTTTGGAAAAAAAAGCAAAGAAAAAGGAAGGCACCCTTTCTTTCTTTGTGATTTTTATATTTTCATATTAGGTACATGCCTATCTATAGGGCATTTGTTATTGTCTCACTGTGTAAGTAAGGTATACAATAATTCTCATATTATATACTTTGCCTAAAAATTCCAATCTTTGTTTACAATTATTGACTCTATTGTCATTTGATTTACTTCCTTCATTGTCGTTTGATTCTAAATAAATAAAAATTGCCATCAATTTTTTGTGAGCAAAGAGAGTAATATATTTGTTTCTGAAAATGTTTTCTTTTATTAAACTGTGTTAATTTCCATGTGCTGTATTCTATTAAAACAAGAATGGCAATTCTTTAATTTTTTAGTTTTAATTTATAACTATTTACTATCATTTATAAAATATATTCACCTACTGTTTGATCAGGGTGAGTTAAGGGTCAGCATTTAAGAGATAAAAGAATGAATAAAATGGAAAGAAAGCATACAGCCCAACTGTTACACCATGAAAGCACATCAACTAGAAAGTCTTGTTAGTTTAAAAGAAATGAAATTAAGCCTATTTTTATCTAAGCAGTTCTGGCTGCTAATTTTTAACAGTGTGAAGTTTTTAACCATGCTCTTTAATTTAAGCTTATTTTTGTTTTAATAGAAATTTTAACATATGTATACTTTCCTTGTCAGATAATTAGAAAATAAAAGTTATATTTTTCTCAGTCATTATTTTAAAATAATTATTTTACAATTAATTATTAATTGCTCTCTCTATTCATACGTTATGTAAAAAACTGTGAATCATTAATTTACGTTTAGTGTAAATTTGAAACAAAATTATAAGACTATAAGATTAATTAGTCATTGGTCTAACAAATATTTGATTTTTTAGGAGGCACCTATTATATGATATCTAGAAGTTTGGGACCTGAATTTGGAGGGGCTATTGGTTTGATATTTTCTTTGGCAAATGCTGTAGCCGTTGCCATGTATGTTGTGGGATTTTCTGAGACTATGGTTCAGTTGTTGAAAGTAAGTTTAATTTTTCTTCTATTTTCACAAATTCAGGATGGTTTGTATATTTATAGTATTTCTTTAACTGGCTGAGCATTTGTAATGCTTGTGCCTAATGGCGCCTTTTTAACTGCTGTTTTTCCTGTTGTAAACCAAATTGCTGTCTTATTGTTCGACGAGAAAGTTGTGTTTTGTAAATATATTTTTAAGCAAATATGCCTAAATTCGAAATGCTTAGTTAGTTAACGTTGTATAATGTTGATTATTTCAGGGGTAATTCACTAATTTTTGATGGCACAGTTTTAATGCATTTCAAAACTTAGTCGTTTTGGAATGCTTATATCATCTTTCTATTTATTTCAAAAAAGATGAACCTTAATAGTTTACAATCACAAACTTATAATAGTTCAAATTTAGGGATCATTTGTTTATTACATTTATTGTTCAGACTCAAAATCTTGTTTCAGTCTTTTGGACATCAAGTAAAGAAGAAATTTAGTATTTTTGTGACTGAAGTTTTTTTTCCTAATATCCGATTGCTAATTTGAAAAAGATGTGAAGGATATACTTATTAACGTTATTGAGTTGTAAATTTTTTCTCTTGTCCATCAAATTGCAGTGAACAAATTGTTTTTCATTCCTTATGCATTTCATTTCATTTATTGTTAAGTATGAAATACTTTTAAATAACATTTATTTTTTAAGTAATGAATTAATATCTTAGTTTTTTTTATTGTGATGATTTTATTTCCAGACTAAGATGCATTACTTTTTCTTGTCATTTGTTTAATTTTGTATACATGTATTTTTTAGTATGTAGATTACATACAAAATAATTTTGAAACAGTTTATTATTGCTTGAAAATAACTATAATTATCAGTTTTCGTTTAAATTTATTTTGATTGATCTTTATATTGACCTATTTTTAAAGTCGAGAAATTCTAAATTACGAAATTTCTCACCTTTTGTGATGCATGTGTGAAATCACACCTTTTTTTAAAAAAATAATTTCTGGTCAACTTGTACTTTTAATTTTTATTTGAAAATATTGAGTATTGCCCATTTTTTATTTGTTTTTATTTTGTTTATTAAAAAAGAAAATTGTGGAGAATTAACGAAATGTACCTCACGAAGCAAAATTTCACAACACTCTTTTTTAGTTATTGATTTTTTGATGAAAATTTTGTCCTAATATTTTTTTTTTTTAACCATTACAAAGCTTGAATTTTTCCTAGAATTGTGAGTTAAGAGTTGACAAATATGATAAATGGGGAGCAATAATTTCAGAATTTAGGAGGGAGATTAATTAAATATGCAAAGATACATATCAGAGACAGGTGGTAATGTATGTCAACAGATGTGTTAACGTCTTTGTGTATTTTTGACTCCCTAGGTTGGCCTTCCAAAGAAAAAATTCTTGAGTTTACGGTAAGGGAGATAAAGAAACATTTGGTGTATTTTAACACAATTCTCTTATGAACATATATATATATATATTTTCATTCAAACATTTGAATACAAATAGTAATTTTTGGCACGTTTTGGTGTACATATTGGTATAAAAATAACCTCATTTTGAAAAAAAAAAAAATTGTTTTTCAAGAAAAGGATAATGGTCTAACAGTTTTTAATTTAATATTTAAATTTTCTTCATTTAATAAACTGATTTTTACCTTATTTCATTGAAAAAATACATGTTGTTGCACATATTTATTTTAAATGTTTGTTATTTCATTAGAATCATGGGCTCTCAATCGTTGATGCTGGAATGCATGATGTGAGAATTATTGGTTGCATAACTGTCATATTCCTATTTGGAATTGCCATTATTGGAACTGAATGGGAATCAAAGGTAAATTTAAAAATAAATTCTGAGAATTTTGAAATTATTTTAATTTTTAATCTATTTTTTTAAAAAATAAATAAATTATAATGCTCAAAAGAATTTCGTTTGTTTCTTGTTAAGTTTGTTGAGAGTTTGAATTTTTTGTTGTGCAAGTTTATTTTCACTGCTAGGTATATATTGTTTAGCAGATATTTTAAAAGTAGTTGAATATGCAACAACTTTGAACTTTGACCACTTTTTTGATTATATTTTCTTAATTTGTATTTTAATGGGTTAAAAACATTTTGGGAAGCTGAGGACTATTTCAGTACAGAAAACTTATATGTAATGAGGAACTCAACAAGAAACTTTAAATGCTTGTTAAATTCAGCCATTCATTGGTATAACAAATTTCAACATAATTAAGCTTAAATTAATTGCTTCCAGATAATATTTATTGAGGAGGAGAAATATGTTTCACTAACATAAAATATTAAGCTGAACAAAATTTTATTATATTTTAATTTTTATTTAAAATATTAAATTCATTAAATAGTGCTTTAAAAGAACTAAATACATTAAATAGTGCTTTAAAAGAACTAAATACATTAAATTTTCATCCTCTGTATTTTCCATAAATTCAAAACAATGTTCTATATTTTATGACTAAAGCACCAGAACATGTTTTAATTGTTTCACATTTTAAATTATTGTTATAAGCAATAATTATACACTGAAAAGCATTTGAGTTTGAACAATTGGTAGAGTATAGTATGTTTTTTTTATTTTTAATATTTTTTCATGCTTCTGAAATTTTTTCTCCTGTTAATGTAATTAAATCCAAGGATAACAGTGGTGCAAGCTATGCTTAAAAGCGTAGAGAGTGGTAATAAAACTACTCAATTTTATTTTCTTCGAGTTAAATAACACGTTCTTAACCGCCAAAGCTTATTTATAATAGTTAGGTATGTATTTCTAGTTCTATATCTTGACGTCTGTATTTTTTAAATTAAACTGTTTATTTAAAATTTTAGTTTTCACAAACAAAATAGTCACCACTTTTTATATTTTTTGGCGCAGCATGTACTCCTAGGATAATTAAAAAAAGTGCTTAATAAAAGAGTACACTCTAATAGATTTATATAATTGTTATAAACAAAGTACTTTGTTTTCCTTGTTAAACAAATCTTATTAAGCATGTGATCTTTATAAGTGATTGTTACTGTATTAGTTAATTAATGTGTTCAATTTTGCTATTTGTAATCTTCTTGAAAAGAGCACAAATATTGGCTTCTTGCACAAATATTGTTATATAAATATATTTTACACTCAAAAAGTGAAACCCCTAATTTCCGTTGTTTGTTTTGTACGTTTTGCTGCTTCTTACACCATTTACTGCTGGTCCGTGAAAATTGCCTATACTGATAATGTTAAATTATCCTTACAAAGTGCACAGACTTTTTCTCTGAGTTCTTTCTTTTTTTAAATTTTTTTTTTTTTTTTTTTTTGTTAGAAAAAAAGAGACAAGTTTATTAGTTGTTTGAAATTGTTCATACATTCTTTCAATTCTATCTTGTTATGTGTTCCTTTTCTCTGTGAGAGGGGATTTCTTTCCTAAGTCAAGATCAGAAGGGTTCTGGAATGGGTGAAACATAGAAGGAAGTATGGAAACTTAAATTGCAAAATTTGTGAAATGAAATTTTTTTCAAGCAAGCTTTGAATATTTGAATAATCCATTTGAAGAACGTTATACTGAACAACTGGTGCAGTAATCATTTCTTCTTTTTTCTGGTGACCTGCAAGATGCTTCTAAGACAAAAATAAATGCTCTGGGTGCTCTGAATTTGATCTCTTGCAGTGTTGCATAGTATCAACTAAAATGCATTACAAATGGGTTTAACAAAATAGGTGTCTCAGTATTCAACGGGAACATTGGCCTTTCTGAATAAAATTGTGTGGCTGAAAATCTTCCACTATTGATGGTACGCATATTGAGTGTAACACTAGTCCCTTTCCTTTTCAATTTCTTCAATATCTGATTTAATGCCTACTTCTGATGATAGTAATGAAAATGACAAAGATGAGTAGAAAATATCGGAGGTTATACACACAACAGATGAAAAATTTTAAAGCTAAAATCTCTCAGACAATATTTATTTGCGAATGTAAACCAAAAAGCAAATTTGCAAACAATAAGTATTGAGAGGGATATTGTTGAAATTGTATCTAAAAATAAAATACAAGAAAAGATTGCAAATTCTTTCTAATAGTTACTCTGGTAAGTGTCAATTTATGAAAAATAGGCTTAGATTTTTTTTTACCCTTATTCTATGCTTTCCAGCTTCATGCCTTTTTTAATGCTAGTTTGTCGGAAAACCTAAAATTAGGGTTCTACTGTATATATTAGAAGAGCTTAGTTGAAGAACCGGCTAAATGACACTTTAATAAATTTGAATAAATGAGCGCTAAATTTTATACGTTCCTCTTTTTTCTTTTTTTATTCAATCATATTTTTAGTATGTTTGTGAAGGCATAATGCATAAAATTTTTGGAGTCTATTTATTTCATTCTAACTTTTTTAAAAAGGAAAATTTTTAATGTTTTTCCTCGAATATAATTTTTTTGAAAAGGTGAAATATGGTAGTACATATATTTAGGCTTATATTCATAGAATAAAACTTTAGCAACCTTAATTTGATACAAACTGGTATCAAGTTTTATCCAGCCTTGCTAGTCTGAAAGGCAATCCAAAAAGATTTGTATATTGCCTCTTTTCAGGCTCAAATGGGACTCTTGGTAATTCTTCTAGTGTCTATGTTAGATTTTGTGATTGGTTCTTTTATTCCTCCAAGTGTAGAAAAGAAGTCTTATGGATTTACTGGATGGGACTGTGAGTATTTTTTTTCTTCTTTATGAGTTTTAATCCTTCAGACCTAATCACATGCCTTGAACCTTTAGTTCCGAGAATACTTAGATTTTTGAAATGAGAAGAAATTAAAGATTTTAAATTGGTTGAAACTTGATTCATTAAAAACCATTCATCATTAGTATGATTATAAAAAAATTACTCCTTTACAATCCTACTTAAAAATTAATCTTTTTTGAACAATATGTTTGATACATTAAATATGTCACTTACTGAGAAAATCCTCTATTTTATTTAAGAATTCTGAATGTTCTCTCATATTTGTTGTAAAATGTTTTGAAATTATTGTCTGGCTCTTTTATCCCCCCACATAAATGCAGTGCAGAATTGCACGTAATTATGATTATATTTATTCTGGGGAAAAAATACCTGTTTTTACAGATTATTTCATTCTTTTCAAATTCACACCATATTTTTATTCTTTTTCAAATTCTTTATTTCCTCGAAAATCAAATCAAAAAGAAATATTTTTTTTTTTTTTTATCAATTTAAATGCAAAGACTCTTTTTTAAAATAAAGATAATTCTAGTTTGATTGATTTAAAATTAATTTCAAGGCATGGAAACCTAATTTATACTAAAGCAATTCATTAATCAATTAAATTTAAAAACTTAATAAATCTAGAAAAAATAGTTAATTTTAATTCATGTTTATATTATTATTTTCTTTCATTCTTAAAACATACAACACTCTAAACTTAATGAGTGGAATTTGCCTCATTTTTATTATAAATTTTAAAAAATTTCATTTTTTATTTAGCGGAACACTTTAAAATAAAAAAAATTTTTATTGATAGGACATATGTTTTAAACTAAAAGGAGCATTTAGACTACTAAGCAAAACTAACTTAATATTGAAAAGAAGTTATACTATTTAAAACGTTGTGTTCTAAAGCAGATGAATGAGGTGAATACAGAATTATAGTTTGATATTGTTTGATATAATTTAAAAACATATGTTTTAAAAGTTGATTTAGAATTGATTATTATTTGGCAAGAGTGATGAGTAAATGAGTTGATTATTAACTTTAATTTACAAAAGTTGATTTGGAATAAATGGTTCCTGCAGTTCAGTCTGTAAAGCAGGTTGATTTCAGTTTTTTATATTTTCAGTGTCTCTAAAAATATTTAAGCTATATAAAAAAAAAAAAAAACTTTTACCAATAAGTATAGAATTAATCCAAAAATAGTTCAATAAAAAAAAAAAAAAAAAAAAAAAAAAAAAAAAAAATATTTAATTCAGTGATCTACAGCATTTTCGATTATAAGGATACAGTTTTTGAAACTAATTTAAACAATGTAATATTAAATTACTAAGTATGAAATTGATTGAACAAATTTTATTTTTAAATATCCTTTTTTCTAGAACTATTTTACTGGTTTCATTCAAATTACATATCTTTTAACTCAATATTTCTCTTCAAATGTAGTCTATTGTTTTAATGTTATTTTTTATCATTTTTAATGCATTTAAATAAAAGGGTTTTTGTAACCAGTTATCCATAAAAATATTTTTTGAATATCTTTCATTTCATTATAAAAAGTTCAGTATTTTCTTGTTGAGAATAGTTTTATAAAATTTTAGTGGATGTAATGCAAGAAAATTTTGGACCTGCATTCCGTCAAGGTGAAACATTTATATCTGTGTTTTCTGTTTTTTTCCCTGCTGCCACAGGAATTCTGGCTGGTGCTAATATATCAGGAGATTTGGCTGTGAGTATAGTCTATCCTTTTATTGATGTTTGTTAATTGTATTATATTAAAAGATAAAGTACTTAAATGTTATCTCCCTATCAAATGTGTAACCATCTGCTTCAGTACCCTGTGAGAGTTTATTCTAAGCTGTATTATAATCTAATACTAAAATATTTTGAGCTGTACTATGAACAAAAAAAGGAAATGAATCATTACTTGTAACTTTATTTAATTATCACTTTTTAAGTGCAAGATTTTATGTTAATGGTTAAGCAGGGGCATAAAATTTCACTTCTAAACTTACTAACCAAAATAAAATCATTGCTTGCCACTATTTAATTTCATAAAATTGTTTACAGATGTGGTAAGCAGAATTGTTTTGTTTTCAAAACCATAAAAAAAAGTTGAAAGGTAGAATGTAATTTGTAACAATAATAGAATCAAAATAAGGTTGTCTTAAGATCTCAATGTTTTCAGAAGATATGATTTTGTAAATAAAAAGTAGATGAAAGTTTTGTTCTAAGTGGGAGAAAAATTCAGATGCTTCATATCTTAAAACTTCCATATGTTGCTTCATTGAGGTACAATTATCTAAGCGTATATAGTTTAAATTAAATATGAACATTTTGAATCGAAGAACATACTTGTCAACCTTAAATATATGATGTTTATATTATTTTTTTTTATTAAAATAAGTGCATGTATAAGTTAGTGTGTATGTTAGTATATACGAGATAATATTGTTATGCACACAATTTTCATTAAAATATCTTGTTTAGGTTTAAAAATAAAGCTTGAAACACGATATATAACTTAACTAAAGTTTAAAATATGATTTGAACAGCTAGTATGCGTTTAGGTGATATGGGGGGAGGTAAAGAATATGTTTAAGTGCATCAAAGAGAAGGAGTTCAAAAGTTATGGAAAAAAGTGTAATCAATTATGGATAGGCCCTAACGAATTATGCTTTTTTTTTTATCTCATTCAAAATTTTCATTCTGAAGTTATTCTTAATTATTTGCATGAATGCAGAAAAGTAAATAATAATCTTGACTGTTTATGCTCTATGGGTCAAAAAAATTATTTCGATAGCTTAGAAATTTTTTGCTCTTATTTTTTGTTAGTAGTTTGTTGAACAGCAGAAATGTACATTGCTATGCGCCTCAATAAATCCTTGGAACAACAATCTTTATCCTTTATTGTTGTTATATTTTTCTTTTGTTGTGAAAAAGAAGTTGGGAAAAGATGATGGGAGCTAGCTGATATGACTAAAGAAAAAAAACTCTGCTCTTTATTAAATAAAGGAATGAAAGTGTACCTTTCAAATCATTAGGTGTTAAAAAAGAGCCTGAATGTAACAAATTGAAGATTTCTTGAAGAAAAGAAAGCATAGTGAATCCAGTTCTTTTGTGACTAAGCCCCAAAATGCGAAGCTAAATGGCAAAAGTAATTTATATTGTTTGAAAAATACTTGGAATCCACTTTCATTTACTAAATGCCAACATTTGTTGAACCATTTGGAATTACTGTCATATGATCAGGGCTGATTGTGCTCCGGAAAAAATCCAGATTTCCAGAATTTTTGCTAACAGTGATCTGGAAGTTTCCGGAGATCGAATATCCAGACCCTTCAAAAATTCATTGATCAGAGAAGTTTCCGGAAATCAAATTTTCAAAGGTGGAACTTAAAACACAGTTTATTTTATTTGTTTGTAAAAGAGAGCCAGAGAGATACTTTATAATCTTATATTCATGATTGATATTCATTTTTTATCAGTAAATAGTTGTTATAATCATAAACTCAAGAAAGAAAGACATATTTGTAAATTTTAATTACTTCTCCAGGTAATCATAGGTATATGTAAATGGTATAGGTATGCGTAAAATTTTAAATATATTTTAAGTAGACTAACAAATATTGAGAAAAAAGGGGGAAAAAATGGGTTTTTTTTAAAAAAAAATTTTTGACTTAAGAAATTTTCCGGAATTTTGACTTGGGCTTACAATCACCCCTGTATGATTAGTTTGGTAAAGTTTGTGATGGAGTGCAGGTGGTTAAATAGAATTGAAAATTTGCTTATTTGTAATGATAAATTTAATCTAATCAACAATATATTCGAATTAATAAATTATTTAATTTAATAGCAGTTTTACAAATTAATCTCTAATCAAAAGGAAATAAAAACAAAATAACTATTAGCTTATTTTAAATTTTTGTGGTTGATTTTGTACTATTTAAAAAAAGTATTATTGATTAATTATCATATATTCAGTTGTTTATAAACGAACACTTTTGTTACTATACATGAATTTATTACTATAAAGAATAGCTTTAAAGTAATATTTTCACGCTGAAATAGATTTGAAACATTTTATGTGGAACAAAATATCTCCTAACATCTCCTTGTTGTAGGTGCAACATATTTATCAACAAAACTAGTGATCCATTAAAATAGCTCAGAGACTCATGTTTAATTTATATAATGTTAAACAAAATAAGTTAAATAAACAATTAAATACAAACCAAAGTATAAACTATTTTTTAAAAATTGTTTTTAAAAACATATATTTTTATCCTGTTGAAGAGCATGGCAGAAAAAGAAATAGCAAACTTGCATTCACATTTTCGTTACGCAAAATACAAAAACTTGTAAATTTATATAAATGCAAGAATTATTTATTTATTATATTAAATGCTTATATTAAAATATGTCTGAAAAGAAATTAATTTATTTAAATAAATTTTACGCATAGAAAAATATTATTTGTTTGCTGAAAATATTATTTTCATTGCAGTCAAAACAATTGTCCACTTTAGCACTTAGCATGTTTTACTTAAAATCATACAATGTTGTACTAAGATTTTCAGTTGATTTTGCATTTACATTTCTCCAGTAAACTTCTATTTACATAATTAAAAGGCTGTCTCATTTGACAAAAAAAATTTCAATTACAATAATTGTCATTTTTGATTAACTGAACAATTTTAAGTAAATCTTTTTGAATTAATCTTTTTTTCACTTAAAAACTATAATTGTGTAAATACACAGTAAATTTCCTATGCAAAATATGTAGAACATATTTTTAAATTAAAAGAAACTCTCAAAGTTTTGCACATTTGGTCTTCTTCAAAGAATTGAAATTATAAGTTATCACAGAGTTTTCCTTTCTCTATGGAAAGATTAATTATATATATAGAATATAGATATTACAATATTTTATCATGTCTTTGATAAACATTTAAAAAAAAATGAACAAAAATTGATTAAAAGATTTAAATCTTTTGGCAGTCATAATTAAATAGTAGCTCTACATTTTGGAATTATAATGTTGTAATTGCAGTGCTTTTATAAATAATTATATAATTTCCTGTGCTAGTTATGTAGGTTTTTCCAATTATTGACTGCATGGTGTGAAGCTACACGTTAACCATTTGAGGGCTGTATTTGGCCCCCAGTCAATCCCTAGCACACATCTATAATTTTTATTTGTCTCGTGTCTCAAAAAACATTATCTATGTAAATTCTGCTAATGTTTTAATGTCTTCAACATACTAATTTAAAAAGTCTTTTAAATTACTTTAATTATATAATATATTTTCTGTTTGTAATGTTCTTGTAAACTAAATGTAAATATTTCTTCAGGATCCTCAGACTGCTATTCCCAAAGGCACTGTTCTTGCCATTGTGATATCGTCTATCAGTTATATATGGTTTGCTTTCACTGCTGGATCTGTTTACTTACGCGATGCTAATGGAAATGAAACTCTTGCAATGAACGGCACTGACATGATTAGGAACTGCACTTTTGGTCCTGATGGAATGTGTCCTTATGGCATGATGAATTTCTATGAAGTATGTTCAACTAGTTTTCAACATTTTTTTAAAAGCAAGTTATTTAAGTATGGAAGGGTCATTATTTTTTTATAGTGTATCTCAGACCTCTAATTGGAAGTTAGGGAGAGTCTGATATATAACCATCTTGTATATGTAGCACATGCACACTTAATCTGTTATGGTTATAAGAATTTTTTAATGAAATTTGCCAAACTTATATAATGATATGATTAAATAAGAGAATCCTTGCTTTAAATTAATTTGCAATTAATGACTATTGTAAATTAATTTAAAGAAAGGGATTTATGGCAATTAATGACTGTAACAAAGCAATTAATGATTATTAATTTATAATTAATAACTATTGTTATTATAATGATATTAAAGGGACTGAGAAATAAAAATTATTAAAAATGAATTTTTTTTTATAAGTGTTGTAAAATAATGTTTATAAATTACTCTATTGGTCAGAATGTCTTAATTCTTAGTTAAAAATTATTTTTAGAAGAGATTATATTTATTTTTTAATATTTTTTCACTTTTTTTTTTTGAATTTCAAAATTTATTAATGGTACAGGTATAAAATACTGACACATATAGAAAAGGTAACCTTTCATACAAATTATCTTTTCTTGCATATAGATTTAACTGCACGATAGCTGTGTAAATCCTTGATATTATAATTTTTATGTCTTTGGTGCAAAATGGCTGTTAAAAGCAAATAGTAAATAAAGTTTTACTTATTACTATTTCGTCAAAAGTTTTTCTTTAAATATGGTTTCTAATTTATAATATCTTTGTAATGTATGTGTAAATCAGCTACATATATATTGATTGTAGGTTATGGAGACAGTATCAGCATTTGGACCTATTATATTAGCTGGCATTTTTGCAGCTACTTTATCATCTGCTCTTGCTAGTCTTGTTAGTGCCCCTAAAGTATTTCAAGTAAGTACTAATGATATTCCGTTATTCTGATAAAATCACCTGAGATTTTTTATTTTATGATCCATTACAATATTTGTACATAAAAGACATTAAAAAAAGAATTAAAGATCTTCATCTAATACAAATTAAATTTTCTCTTTTTAATTGTACTTACCAGTTTTAATTTTACCTGTTCCAGATTTTTTCATTACATAGTGTAAAAAGTAGAAGGCTTAATAGTCTCTAACAAATTGGACACAGCTCTAAATGTGTGTCTATGAAAATGGACTTTCTGTTTTTCAAAGTTCTCTTACAAACTTTCTTTTAAGAGAATAAACAAATGGATAAAAATATATTTGTAATGTCACATCGTTCATTTGCATAAATCACTTAGTAAATTTATTTTTAGATCTGACTTTTTGAAAAAATATTTAAAGTTAATTTTTGTTTTTAATAGATTGTTACGAATCCTATAAATTTATAAAAGTGGCTATTAAATTAATGTTGTATGAATTTGGACTTTTTAAAATCACTTTACCATTTAGTGTTCTGAATAAGAAGAGATGGCTGAAATGTTACACCTGCAATGTAACCAGCCATTGTCATAAGGCCAGGACTTTGCCCCTGTTTTAATTATGCTTAGTGTTTTAAAAAGTAAGGAAAAGTAAATACAAACATTGACAAAGCTCATTTTTTGTTTGCGCCCATTTTCTTTTGCACAAATTTATAGCTGTATGCAGAATAAAAGCTCACTGAGAATATATTGCATTCAACTACAGTTAATTTTTTTTCTTTACCATTTACTCTATAAAAAGTAAACTAACTTATAAAAACTTCTTTGCCATGCTTTTGATATCATGAAATCAATTGACAAGTCTTTAATTTCATAGAAAGTATTTATTGCTAAATTGACATTGATGCTTACATTCTTAATTGATTTTAGTAATTCAATTTGGAGGAAAAGCAAATCAAAAGTTATTTCTAGTTTTATGCTGCTAGAGTTTATTCAATTTTATTTTTCCAGATAGGGCAGTTATTTTAAATCTTTTTATAATGAACTTTTATAAGTACTACCTCTTTCTTGCTATTCCTCACCTACCCTAAGTAATAGCTTTGCAATTCTATATGAATTGCTTAGAAAAAGCACAATTTTTATTGTTATTTTCTCTAACTGTATAGAGCTAACCCATACGATACGGCAAGAAATTCTTTACTTTGCCTGTATATTTTCTGATAAAATTAGTGCAAAATGTGCCTTACTATTAATTAATTAAATGTTAAATTAAATTATTAAATTAATTAACTTATTAAATGTGCCTATATAACTTTACTATTCTCTTTTAAAGTAATCATCAAGCAAATTTAAGTAAAAATAATTATTATACGAATACATACAAACACTAAATATTTTAATAATCAATAAACACTAAATATTTCATAATGAATAAACACAGTTAACTCTGAACAATAATATTGTTTATTCATTTAATATGAAGTTTTAAATAACTATAATATGGATTTAACTATGAACAATAACTGTGAATTTTTAAGCAATAGAACACATTTTACTCTGCACAATTTTTATATTGTTATTTATACCTATAGGAATGATGAACCATGCTTACTGTCCCTATGTGGGAATTACATAAAAATTAGGCTATCTTTAACGGAGAATGTTAGCTTATGTGTTTGGCTTCATTTCATGTTATTACTTGTATCAATTATATTTTCTAAAGCATGTGCATAGTCAAACAACCTTAGTAATAATACAGAAATCCATTTGTAAAATATTTTAAAACGTTCTTTCAGAAATTGTTTACAGAGAAAATCTTATTTGAGCTTTAAAATAACTTCTATTCTTGATGCTATTTTTTAATTAATGTTATTATCACTAAATAACTAAGAACCAAAAATATTTTTGAAGTTTGGTTTAAGCATAGTTCAATGCTATTTTTATGAGGAAAATATTTTGTAAAAAAATTGCCATTGGTTCAAAACCTTTAAAGAATTCAGGACTTAGATTTATATCTGATTATTCTGAGTGTTTTGTGGCTAACATTGTTTAAAAATAACCCAGTTTCTTAAAAAATTATCTTAATCTAAAGGTTATATGATGAAAAACTTTTTTTCCCTTATAGAAAGTTATCAATTAGAAAAAAGTTTCAATTAAAATTTGCCAAAAATTCTTTTTAAAATAATTCAAGTATTGTTATCAATAATATAGTTTGAAATGTTCATTTGACCTTGATTTATAATAATTTTATACTAGTCAAACTAATTAGTATGTTTGAAAATTCTACATGGTAATATAGTAATTTAAATGTGCAGAGTTTTGGCCCCTTTAATGTTTTTTGTTTGAATTATCGTTTTAAATTAACTAAGAAAAATTATCTATTGTATATTTGTAGGCCTTATGCAAAGATAAACTCTTTCCTCATCTGCATTATTTTGCAAAAGGCTTTGGCAAGGGAAATGAGCCAAGAAGAGGATATTGTTTAACGCTAGTCATTGGTTTAGCCTGTACAGCCATTGGTCAGTATTTATCGTTTATTATTTTATAGCAGAGTTTAGTTTTATACCTGTCAAGAGTCAAAAACCAAGGATTATAGTCATGATAATCATAATGTATGCAATAATGTTTTTAAAGTTAATTAATAGTAATAAATTAACATGAAAATACCTACAAATGTATGAATATTGGCTAATAAATTAACACATATCTAAAAATACCACTTGATAATAATTGTATGAAAGTAAAAGTTATAGTTTTGAGCTGAAGAAAAAAAATGCTTTTAATTTACACTTTTTATTGTTTTTTTTCTTGAAACATTTTTTTAATGTCTCAATAAAATCTAAATTTTAGTATAATTATTCTTAATGTTTTTATATCATATGTATAATTTTTTTATATTTTGTTTACATAATGGTAATGGTTTTACCAGTACATTCTGTTAAAATTTGCATTTTTTAAAAATTTAAGTAACTAACAACTGTACAATATCCAAAGTATTACAGTGGATTAATTTAAAAACAGAATTGTAAAATATAAGAGGAAAGGAAAGGATTTTGAGAAGTAATAAATAATTTTAGAATGTTCAATTTTTTTTTTTTGATATTGTAAAAAGGTATTCTTTAAAACAACTTTACTGTAGTCTTTATTTGTAATGTAAAGTTTTTTTTTCTCTCCAACATACTAAAAATTTAAAATTTAACACCCTATGCAATGTTCTGTTTAAAATATAAAAAATATTTTTTACCAGTACATAATTGATATTTGAGTGGATCTTTTTATCTGTGAAATCTCAAAAATGTGTAACCCTACTTTAAAGAATTAATTCTTTTGTATTTACTTTATATTGCTTAATTTTCAACAATTCCATGGTATGAAGTTTTTTGGTTAAATGTTTTAATGTATTTTCATTTATTTAAAATCGAACTATTTTGTGGAAAATATTACATAATATTTCATAAATTGTGAAAAGACATTCTTTTACAATTTTAAAGTTTTACAAAATTCTTCAGAAATTAAATGCAATTTCAATTTTTTTACTTTTATTTTAGATAAGATTACTGATTTTATCTTATTTTTCTCTATTTTGAATATCATAAGAAATAAACTGCAAAAATTGATTTTTTAATGTTTCTCACACTGTTTGTTATCAATGTTGACCTGNTTTATCTGTATCCTTGAAGTAAATTTGGTAACGTTTCATTTAACCACTGTTCACATACTTCAAGAGGGACAGCTTTAGCTCCTCCATGAAGATTGCGAAAGACATTGTGTGTGTGTTGCAAAGGAAGGGGCAAGATATCAGCTCCTAGGTTTTTTTTTCTTGCTTTAAAAGATCCCAAAAAAATCGAGTTAAAGGGAGTAAAATTCGAGTAATCGAGAATAATTAACATGAAATTAAAGATAAAAGAGTCGGGACCTCATAAAAAAAATCGAGGTATAGTAATATTCGAGTTATCGTACTTCGAGTTATAGCGAATTGACTGTATATGATAATAGTCAATATTTAAATAAAATCTCACTTTTGCAGTAAAGCTCTGAATTTATTATTTTTATTGTTGCATTTTTTAGTTAAGGCTAATTAGTCTTGTATCTAAATTATGGTAGTGTAACACATGTATCAGTTAAATCTTTAGTTCATCATTAAGAATGAATTCCAGATTTATCAATATACAGGTATTATAACATAGTAATGTATCTTTATGACATTAACAACGAAATTCAAGAATATGGAGAAAAAATTCTGTAGCTTCTTATTAATTATCCACCCTTAAAAATTTTTTGATTAAAAAAAAAAATTCTTATGTTTGTTTAAAATAAAAAAATTTAATTGTAAAATCCCCTATTAAATTTATTTTTGAAATAGTTTATTTTTTACTTTCGTTGAACAATTAAAAATGTTCAATAAAAAAGAATATAAGTCATAAATATTTTATTTTTTAGGATTTAGACCATCTTTTAAATATTACAACCTATGGCTAAGTTTAGTGGGTGCCATTCTTTGCCTTGCCGTCATGTTTATAATGAATTGGTGGACAGCACTTTTGACATTTGCTTTAATTTTGGGCTTGTACATCTTTATTTTCTATAGAAAACCTGGTAAGAATGATCTAAAACTTTAATTCTTCAAAGCTCTTTGACACTAGTTTTTTAAGTTCAGGGAAATTATTATGCCATTGATACAGTTTTTGCAAGAAATAAACTTTTATGAGCATGTACTTAAATTAGTTTTTAGAGGGAAATATTTTTATTTTATAGAAGAAAGAGATTGTAATTTTCACAGAATCATCTTTCTATTACCAATTTAAACCTTTTATTTTCTATAAACACTTATGCATAAGAATTCTTTTTAGCCTCAATTAATTCTACTGCCATCTTGTTAAAGTTATTGAAAACTGTATATCTCATTTATATAATTTAAAATATACTAAAAGTAAGTTTATTTATCCTATAATAAGATTATTTTCTGTAAAATATGAAAATGTAAAAGTTTCCCTCTAACATAAGGTTTTATTTCTAAATCATACTTTTTGTTTCTTAACTTTTCCTTTCTATTTGTTTCATGGACTCATATTTTTTCTATTTAGATGTAAATTGGGGCTCTTCTGCACAGGCACAGACATATAAGACTGCTTTGAGTTCTGCTTATCGTCTGAACCATGTTAGTGATCATGTTAAAAATTATAGGTATGTCTTCTTCTATACTTCAGAATCCACAATAACTTTAAAAAGTTTTGATATTTATTTAGTAAAAAATGTAATTATACCTTTTTTTATTTATATGAACTTCTTAATTTGTTTTAATTTTCTGGTAAAAGCATATATAATAAATAGACATATTCATGAAACATGTTTTGTTTATGTAAATATCCTTTATTTATTAATTTATTTTTTGTTACGTGTATGTCACTTGAATTATTGCCTCTTCAAACAGTCTTTAGCGTTTTTTTAAATAAAAGTTTTGTGTAAATTGAGTTTTAAAAAATGTATATGTAATTTCTTACCTTTCATCAAATTCTACACAGCAATTTATTTTGTATTGTTTTTTTGTTTGACTTTTCAGATATTTTGTGGTGACAACTAATAATATATTGGTTCAAAACCCTTAGCATTATTATAAGTTGAAATTACATTGAGTCATCAGAATATTTAAATTTATAGAAAACTACTATTATTATTTTTTTATGGAGGGGGGTAAGGTTCATATAAAAAGAAAAACGCAATTTAAAAAAAAAAATGCATATTTTTACAGAATATGCATTTTTTTAATATTCAAAGAAGTAAATTCTTATTATGTACTAGAAATTCTGTTTCAAATAAAGACTCACGTTCAATAATTTTTTCCTACTTGCCAAAAGAACTTTACTTTTAAGTTTGACATTTGAATTGTAAAACCAATTCAAATGTCAAACTTAAAAATAAAGTTTAAAGTTTAAAAATAAACTTTACATATAAGGATTCCATTAATAAAATGAGAGAAATTAAAATAATTTTTTCGAGAATATTATTAGCTCCTTTACATTTGGTGGACACTGTTTAGAACAGTGTTCACCAAAAACATTGTTTTTGTGATTCTAAAAGTTGTCTCAGACTGTAGTTTCCATGTGTAGGAAATAAAAACTTTGTTGATTTCTCTAAAAATTTAAATTATATTAGAAAAAATATTCAATGTAAAGCCCAGGTAAAGCAAAATTCCCTTCACTAATCCAATAATCAAGTTAGGTGTTGATTATTGGATTATTCATTGTTATAATTAATGTTGCCATGGTGGTATAAGTACAATAATGGATGCCATATAACACTACTTTTATTTACATATTTTTTGTTAAATTTTAAAAAAAAGAGCTTGTAGCTATTTTAGCATATAACATCTCATGATCACTTATTATGTTTGGGTTATAAAAATTCCATGTGTCAATTTTTTCAGCTGGTACAAGTTTGTTTCAATGTTTATGACAAGTATCAATTCATTAAAACAATTTTAAAATTCAGTCAGATAAATTTTATTTTATTCATTTATTTTTTTCTTCTTATAGACCTCAAATATTGGTGTTGACTGGATGTCCAAGTAGTAGACCTCCACTGACAGATTTTACTCACAGTATAACTAAGAAAATTGGGCTGCTTATTTGTGCTCACATTGTTAAAGTAAAATTATTTGGATTTTAATTATTAGTTGCATTAACTATTTCTATATGTAACGAAAAAATAATGTCACTGTAATTTACTAAATGTCTGTTGAAATTAAGACTTTGACACATTTACGATATAAGAAAGTAGAAGATAGTTTAGCTAATATGTATGAAATGTCATATTTTTAATATCAAAAGCTGTGTGTATTTCAGGGAATAATATATATTACACAGGTATAAAAGTTGTTTAGTGATTAATAGAAATATAATTGCATTATAAAATCTGCTAATTTTCTTAGTCATTGCACACTTTCACCAAACACTATATAATACTTTCTTTTTTTTTAATTCTGAAAGAAAAAAATCTTTTTATATATTCTACAACAGGGAAGTGTGGTAAGTGTAGTACATGAGAAAGTATGTTTATATGCGAGCCATCATAAACAATGATGATAATAGATGCGAGATATCACTACTTGTATTATAATTTTTAATTTTTTTAAATCAGTAAATAAATATTTTGTTTTGATGTAGGGTTCATAGTGGACCCCTTTTTGTAATTTATGCAGAAAATTTTTTTTTGTGTACAGTGTTATACTTTATTTCTTTCATTCAACTATTAGACATAATGATGTTTCTTGATACAGTAGACTTTTGATTACTAGGATCGGTTTATCCAGGATTGAAAAAAAAGAGAGAGAGAAGTGCCAAGGTGGTCCAAAGAGTCATGATTCACCGATCCTTGCAGAATCAGTGTTGTTCAGATTAAAATTTTTCCATGTTTAACAGTATGAACACTTTGTTCATATGGTTAACATGAAGAAATGCAAAAGAGATCTTAAGTGAAAATCAAAAGCTGGAAAACAGTTAAATCATTATTGCATGATTATGAGATTTGTGATCTAACGGTGGGAGACACTATGAAACAAAGGGGATAAAAAACAATAACCAAGAGCTACTTGAACTTGCTAGAATTTCAGATTGCTGAAAAAGAATGTATTAGAAGAGCAATTAAAACCTTGAAACATTAAATATTTAATGAAATAAACACTAAATGTCGAATTTTTTTCTTTCGAATTAATTTAATTAATAATGCTTTAAGGTATAATAAGTTTACATTTTCTATAATTTTTTCATGAGAATTTGCATTAATTGGATTATCTGGGATATTTGCTTATACGGGGGAATGTATTTCCTGACCATAATCAAGAGTCTACTGTATAATAAAAAATATAGTTACTAACATATGTAATGAAAGTCAATTATTGAAAAAAATATTTCTGAAGAAATTTTATGTGGAATCCATGATCTACAATGAATGCAATTTTGCTCTCCAATTTTTAATTTATTACTAGTTTACATGATGTCTCTAATGTAAATTTACATTTACTTTAAGTGAAAAATTATGTCCCAAATTAATTATTTTGGCTCAAATATTAATTTTTTACAGTATTTTTATCATTATTTAGAATAATAGTTCGATTTTTCTTGTTTAAGTTTAAAAAAACAAGTGCAATCCAATATAGATCTCACTGTGCCGTTCGTATTATTGGAAGAGATTTGATGAGCAAGGCTTAAAGTTTTTCATTTATCTAGATTTTCATCACTATCAAATTAAAACCTCTCAATTATTCTGAAATTGGTTTTATTGCATGCATGTTTGCTTCACTTTTATTGAAATGCACTTCTTTTAAAGGAACCCATCACTCAGAGGATGAGGAATGCTTATTCGAGGCAAGCGTATGGATTCCTGAACAAGAGGAAAATCAAAGCTTTCTACACACTCATAGAGGATGAATGCTTTTCGAGGGCTGCCAGGGCACTCATTCAGGTCAGTATTTTGAACAATGACTGACTCAATGTGTAATCACACATAGTGCATAATAATTCAACATTTTGCAGTCCACTGGAATAGGAAAAATGAAGCCCAACATCGTCTTCATGGGCTGGAAATCAAATTGGCAGGAGGGTGGAATTGAAGACATTCAAGAATACTTCAATGTTATACAGTATGACATTTTTCCCTAATAATTTCTGTTTAAATGAAGTTTTCTCATTTTCAATTTTTCTTTTCAGAAATAGTTTTATGCAATTCACAGAGTTGTTTTTACATGCTATAATGGATTTTTTATGAAAAGTTGTAAATGTCAGAATGCAACTTTGGCAACTCTTTAAGTCCTCGGGTTCCGAAAATTTTATGGGGTAAAATGCAAAAAATTTAACAGTATGTAAAATATTTCTGTGAAGGAAAGGACGCACCTTTCACAAAACTTTTGCGGGTTGAGGAAAAAGCAAAATGCCCATCCTTATTCTCAGTACCCAATTATCCCTACGAAATTCTATGGTTAGCTGGTTTCTGCAACCCCTTTCTGTCGACCACTCCGATTTGTTCAGAGCCGTTTCCGTCCAGGGTACAGATATGTTCTATATTTTTCTTTAAAACAGTTATTTCTTTAAATAAATGGTGACAAAACAAATTATCAACTGAAATGAGGAACAAAATTTTGTTAGAATAAAGAGATGAGGAAATGTTTTAATAATAGCAATAGATTAATAATAGCAGCAGTATCAAATTGAAGAAACTAAAACAAATTCAATGATGACTCAGCTTTTACAATGCTGCAACAGCAGCTAACAAAGCTTATCCTTCAAGAATATGTCTCAGGCTGCGAAGGCAATACCTGCCATTGAAAACATTAATTTGATTTTAATCAAGTTTTTAATTTTTTTATTGATGTTTTATATGAAATCTACAAGATTAATAATAGCAGCAATATCAGATTGAAGGAACTGAAACAAATTAGATGGCTCGGTGTTTGCAATGCTGCAACAGCAACTTACAAAGCCTATCCTTCAATTTTAGAAACCTCCCATGTATTAGAAAACTCTGAGATACAAAAGCTGAAAGTCTGTTGTAGAAACTAAACAGTATGCTCAGATATTCTTGAGAGCTAATTAAGAAATTGACTAATTTGTTTCAGCATGAAAATGTTATATTTTCTAAAATCTGGCCTCTTGTAGTATCCTGTATTTCTACATTGGAAGCTTGTACTTACTAATGAATAGAGTGATGAATCTACAATTTCTCTCTTCAAGAGCTACAACAAAATGGAATGAATGGAATTTAGGAAGTGTCAAAATTCTGTTTATAAATAAAGTAATTTAAAATTTGAACAAACGATTTTCAAAAGAATCATTGGTTATTCTAAATGCACTCTCTGTAATATTTTAGCCAAATAACTATCCTTTAATACAAAGTTATTTAAATGGATATGGTGTGGAAAGCTTAAACACATTCATAGATGTCCTAAATGTGAAGTTTTTGGTCAAAAGTTAGCTTTTAAAAAATGTTGCAATTTATGTGTTTGTTAATAAACTTAAAAACTCTTGATCTGTAAGATTTTGTAACACTTGTAACTAAGGATTATTGTGAGGATTTTCCTCAATTTTCGATACAGGCTAAAATTATCTTGGTAATTCCAATAAGCTCTGCAACGGTTGAAAGAAACTTCTCTTACATAAAGAGAGAAAACAAGTGCAAGGAATAGGCTCACAGTAAAAAAAAAAAACTGATGATTTCTATTTGAGATTTTGATGATTGATATTTGATGAGAAAGAAAATTGTAAACTTATAAAATTTCTTTGTATTTAGAGGAAATAACTATTTTTTACTCTAAAATGTACAGTGCTTAAAATAAAAAAATAATGTATGGTTCCACCTTCTTTTTATTTCATAATCTGATTCTTATGTATTAAAAAGAAATTGTTATTCAAGAGGCTGGCTGAAGTATGTTAATTAGTTGGGTGTGATAATTTATTTTACGAAATCAGTCACAAAAACATACTTTTTTTTTGTAAAAAGTAATATAAATTTTTTCACAAACTTAGATTTTGAACATTAAAACTATAAAAAGGGTCACTCTTTGGAAGCTATTGTTATAGTAGTTAAATTAAGACTCCTTTTTTTCTCCTTTACTCTATTTTTACTCTGTATTTAAACAAATCTTTTGAACTGTTCAATCTAAGCAGTTTAAAAATGGCTTATAATTATAATTTTCCAAATATATTTTTGTGCGAAAATGAACTGTATAAATTTTAATTTAAATATTTTTTTAAAATAAAGCCTCAACTTTAAATGAAAGCAATGGAATATTTCCAAAGCAAAACATTAAATGAATAAATAAATCTTACTCCAAAAAGTTTCATTTTTTAGGACACTATTTAGTTGCTATTTTGATTTATAAAATTACAATAATTAAAATGCAAAAATTTTTGAAGTTCATAATTTAAAGTGATTTTGATCATTTAATGAAATAATAAGAAATACTTATTAAAAATTATTCATACAACCGATTAAGCAAACAAATTAATAGTTATTTTCAGAAAAAAAGGAAAATTTTCTTTAATATTTGTGGTTATGACTCTTGGATAATTCTCTCAAAAATGTATTTAAATTATAATGTTATTTAAAGAATAAGTCTTTTAAAACTATATCTGTTGAGTATCAAGTGTATTGCTTATTTGCAGTGAAGCTTTTGACAAGCACTTGTCGCTGGGTATACTGCGATTGCAAGAGGGTTTGGATTATTCTGAGTACAATGACATTGAGGATGTTGCTGAGCTCCCAGCCACTAATGGCAAGAAAGCTAGGCGCCTGTCCTTCCTAAAGGGTACTGAACAAGGAGAAGGAATGACTAGAGATCCATCTAGTGCTCAGTTGTCTCAAGGTATTTTTATTATTTGATAGCGCCTTTATATTAATTGAAAAGCTAATTACTTATTGTGTTTCAACTTATAATGTATAAGCCCTTAAAAAAAATTTTGATGAATGCTTATAACCTATATTGAAAAATGGTTAAAATGCTATGGAAAAACGAATCTTTTTTTTCTTCTTAACTTGCATATTTTTATACCCAATACTTTATTTGTTTACAGTCATCCCCCGAAACTTCTTTATTATCCGATTTTTGTTGGGAAGTTGTGACCAATTATGTCTGCTGTGTGTTCTCTTTTTATTTAATATTATTTAAAAAAAATGTCATGGCTAGAAAATTTTTAAATATTTCATTTAAACCAAAATGTTACACTGTTGATATCAAAATATAATATTAGCTTATTACCAAAATATTTGGCCATAATATAATTAGCTGTACGAAAAATAATTAGATTTTTTTTTCAACATTGTCTGAAGTATTCTTCTTTGACCCCATTGAGGCAGAAATAAATAAATTGTAACTAGAGACTGCATTAAATATACTGTAGTAAATATTTTAGGTTTTGAAAAACTGTTTTTAGTTAACTCTTTTGATATAATAGATTTAAATAACATTTATCAAATAGACTACCAACTTTATAAATTTAACAAAGTCTGACTGTTACCTTAACATTTAAAATCTTAAGATTGTCAATATTAAATTCTTTCATTTTATCTATATTTTAATCAAAATTTAAGTGTTTCCCTTGTGCTACACTAATTTATTAGATGTTAAATGAATTAAACATAAAAATAAGCTCATTTTTATTTAACAATGATTTAAATTTAGTTATCTAGGGTTAATGTAGGAAATAAAAAGTTTCTGCTTTACTGTCTGTAAAAATTGAAATAAAATGCAGAATATTATCAATATGAAATTCAATGTCTTCAAAATTTAAAAAAGTTTGTTATATGATTTTTAAATTACGCTATTTTAAAATAAAGTAAGAAAAATAATGTAAGAAAAAGTTTCACTTTATTACTCGCTTTTAACGGAAAATTTACCTTTAGATAGCTTGCTACCTGTGTTTTCATTCCTTTTGTTTGAATGTTTAGCTAAAGAAATAAAACCATTTACTAACTTCACTTATTCTACCTTCATAAGCTGAAAGCTCCCCAGAAACAACGCCTCCGTCTACACCTCCTGCTGATAGGAAGTATTCCGGAGATGTAGGAGGAAATCAATCTGGCAACAGCAGCCAAGTGGTGCGCGGCTTGTCTAAAGCCATTCCTAAAGATGTTCTGTCCTGTGTCAATCAATTTCAGAGGAAACAAAAGAAAGGAACCATTGATGTTTGGTGGCTTTACGATGATGGAGGTTAGTGAAAAAGAAAAAACATAGGTATTCTTGAATAAAAATAACGGTTCTATTTTTCAGATTCGAAGTTAGGTTCCACATGGCAGAATTTTTTCAGGGTTTCTGTAACAAATCTCACTATCACTAATATTTTTCGGCAAGATATTTTTAATTTATTTAAATTTTAATGTGTTTTTAAATAAATCGTTTTTTCACAGAAATTTTTGTTTTAATGAAAGTTAATATTTAGTTACACTGATATTCTTGCGGCTATTTCGGCTGTCAGCTAATATGGCATGTGAATTTAAATGTTTAATTATCCGGTTCTATTGCATTCGATTCGTTACGATCCCTAATGTCATAACGTTTAGAAGATGGTTCTGGTTTTTCAAATTATGATATTTTAATGCTAAATAATTACGACATTTGAATTATCATTTTTGACACGTTCAAGTCGTGATAATTCCATCGTACTTTCAAGTTGTTGGATGATAATTTTTCCGTCTGTTATTCAAGATTTTTCGGCTTTTTTCTCAAGGTTATTCAAACTTCATTATTTTTAAAGAGCTGTTATAATACGTGAATGTTGAATTTCAGTTTTGACGTGTTCGATTTTATGACAATTCGTGCTGTTGTATTCATGCAGAAAAGTTTTTTGGAAAGCAACTATTGTTTTAAGAAAACTTGGGCTTAAAGGAAAGTCAAAATTTTTTGTTTCCCAAATGAAAAATCTTTCTGAAAAAAAAATCAAAGTTCTGACATAACGTCACACTCCCTCCGCAATTCTGCCATGGATGGAAGGTCATAAGCCATTTCTGTGTTGTTACATCATCATGGGAAGTCTGTTTTTTAGTATCAAATCTATGATTTACATTATTATGACAATTTTAAAAATCTAATAAATCTTTATTCTTCAAGTTTTTCAAAATATTTTCTCTTTTCTATGTTATTATTTTTTTCTTCCAGCTTATAAAAGTATTTTATAATATTTTAAAAATAGTGGCATAAGTTTTACAATTAGGTGAGAAAACATTTGCTGGAGGAAATAGTCAGCTAATAAAGTTTTAGTTTGATTTGATCATTGAGGTTTCCTATGTTTTGTCTTTACCTGAAATAAAATCTTTTGATAAAATCAATAAGTTTGTAACATTAAAAGGCATAATATATATTTTTGTATCAAAATATTTATTTTAATGCTTACTGAGAACTACATGCTTAGTTTATAAACTAAAATTTAGCATATTTGTATCTCATTAAAATTTCTTTCTATAAATTCTAATTTCATTAATAAGAGAATATATTTTGCCATAATTTATTTCTTATTGAAATTTGGACAATCTTAAAGTTTCTTGGTGGCTCAAGTTTTTAGTTTTAAAGTAACATTGAATATAGATTACTTAAACAATAGAGAACAGATTTTAAACTTAGAAAAATTACTCCTTAAGAGGAAGAGATTCTGTAATTATTGTTTAATAATTCTTTATCACTTAATATTCTTTATGAAGTTCCAATGTTCAATAAAGTATAGTAATGCATGTATCAACAAAATTATTTTGGATCTAAAGATTTTTACCTTTTCTGTAACCGCAGCTGTAAACTCAACATGTGCTTGCTACTTTGTTTCACATCTTACTTATGTGTCCAAAATATAAACTTGGATAATGAAATAATAACTTAACCAAAGTATTCTATGTTTGACATTGTTATAGATTTTATTTTTATCTAGATAAATTTGGTTTGTTTTTCTTTAAAAATCAGTTATGTTGATGGTATAAAGATATCAGTTTTAAAGACAAAGTTCCAAAATCAGATTTCTTTCTTTTTTATATTTGTACATTGTTAAAATATAAATTCAACGATAAGGCTTTGCAGTAAAATTAAATTATTATTTTGATTAGTAAAACCATTGAAATTGTTTCTTTTCTTAATTCTTGTGTGATAATATTTTTTTCATAACGTTTTTGAAATTTGAGAATTTCATATGCTTTTAGGTCTAACAATGCTTATTCCATACCTTCTTATAAATCATGCTCAGTGGAGTGGTTGCAAACTCAGAGTTTTATCCTTGGCTAATAAAAAAGATGAACTAGAAAGAGAACAGAGGAGGTAAGTTTCACTATTTAATGTGTTAAGCTAATTAAGTTTTAATTTTTTTAATAAGTTAATTAAATATTTTAATAATAATATTATTGTTAAACTGTTTACAAAACTGCTGCTTAAAATCTGTCAAAATAGGTTGAAATTNTTAATCTTCAGCTTTATGTTTTTCTTAGCAGTAAATATTTTAAAAACACTAGAAAATCATAAATTATTTTGTTAGATGTTTAATGCTCTTTTATTTACTCTGACCCCTGAGGGGGTTTACCTTCGTTAGGTAAACACAGGGAGTCACGCCCCGGGGTACCCTAGTGATCTGTCCTCCCTTCCGTTTCCTCTCCCTTTACTCCAACTTTCCCCTTTCCCTTCCCCCTTGTCGTGGTTGCCGAATTTACTGGTAAGGGCTTTTCATCTGTGTTTGGTTACCACCCTGTTGTAACGGACCCAGATGGGAAGAGACCACCCGCGTGTTTGCCGTGCGTGGAGACCCGTGTCCCTGGAAAAGGGGATCCTGGCAGTTGAGGGGCATCTTGGTACCCCAATACACTGCTTTGGCCCGTGCTTCAGGTAAACGGGAGGTGCATATTGGCCTGTGTGCATCAATCGGCTGGTCACAATCGTCATCTGTTGACTAGGGTCAAGNGACATGATCTCAGCATTTTTACGTGTCATTGGTATTTTTAACTGCATATAAAAATTTTAACACGTCTACTGTTTTATACACTTTTGTAAATATCTTATCACCTTCATCCACTTTACTTACTACATATTATACTGTACTCATACTTTATATCTGATTTTATTCATACTTTTTATCTGATTTTATTTAAATAATTAATCTTGTCTTATTCACCTGCTAGTACTGTTTTATCAGTTATAAATGTATTACAATTAAATTTGAATGCACTTAGACTTTTAAACTATTTTATCGTACTGTTTGGCGCAGCATGTCCTCCTTTGGACCTTGTGCCACTAAACCCTACATTCAATCAATTTGTAAATTATCTTCATGTTTTCTATTTATATCTAGTTTTCTATTTATATCACTTTGATGTTTTCTATTATTTTTTATCTTAATGCTTTCTATTTTAATGTTTTCTATTATGCCCAGAGAGAAATTAACTTCACAATTGTCTTAAACGATTAAAATATTATTTGCATTAAATTATAAAATGCATTATTTTTACTATGAAGACTAAAATAACTCTTATTTTAAGACTAAAATAAGAGTGCCTTTTCCCTCATGCTGCAATGAAATTTAAAAATATGACTACTAATAAGTTTTATAATAACCATTTTGTCCCTATTAGTGACAGTGAAAAAATAAATGCTATCAAATAAAGGGAATAAAAATACTTTCAATATCCTGTGATAAATGTCACCTGAAATTATCTTTTCTCAACTTCATACAATTTTGAAATTCATTTTATTTGACCTTTGAAGGATTGTAGAATGAATTTTTTCTACCGAAAAGAAAAATATATACTCCCATTAATGTGGAGAAAAAAAGGTCAAAGGAAATTTTTTACAACAAATCATGTACTTTTTATTCGATTACAAGTAATTTCCGTTCGATACATCCCATAACCATTTACAATTATATTGAGTACAGATAACGAAAGCAACGAGAGATTATGTAAATATAAAGAGAACTACAGATCTCCACATTCGTTTCCATTTTATGCTATCTCATGGCAAAATTTTCACCTATGCTTTCCATCAATAAAACAAATTAATTGGTAGTAAGATGCATATTATCATTCAGCTATTTTTACAGAAAATATTTTTTCTTGAGTCAATAACATAATTTTGCATCAAGTTTATCATCCTATATTACTGCTTTAGTGAAAGAAGTTATCAAAAATTAACCCTAACCCATTCATATTGTTTTTATCTTAAGGACGTTAAAACAGCACCTAAATTTTTTTATGCTCTCTCCTATTCACTGCTCATTTACTCTTCTTATTGATAATAGGTTAATTTACTCGCTAATAATTTGAAGTCTTTAGCGAGGACCCTTGTGTTGTGATTTTAGTTAATAAAATGTTTCGAAATGTCAATATCAAGACAGGTATTTGTGATTTAATTTTTTAATAGAGGCAAATTTACTCCAACATTGCATTATTTGAGCTCAAAAGAAACGTGACAAAATTGAGAATTATTCATTTTTAGTAATTTATTAGGTGGAAATTTTTTTTAACTAGGTGGAAAAATTTTGTGAAATTGACAATGCTTTTAAAAGTTTTAACTTATCAGATATTTAAGCCTTTTGTCCATTGGCATAATCTCATAAAAGTATGCTATATTGGCACAATGTTTTTTTTTTCTTTTTTTAATTTGATTAGTTTGTTTTGAATTTTTTTACTGTATTTCATGTAATCCTTAATAATGTGTAACAATGTTTCGTCCCTTATTTAATTTTAGCATGGCTGCTTTGTTGAATAAGTTCCGTATTGATTACTCTGATGTGATGGTTATTCCTGATATTACTAAACCACCACAAGAGTGCAGGTAAATAAAATTTTGTTTTTGTGCATATAAAGCTTGTTTGTTTTGTGTAAATGAAATTATGATTTTGTGTGTGATTGTTTTATTTGCTAGTTTTTAGTTTCAGTGTTTAAGGGTATGTTTCTACAGACTTCGGAAACTACGGTTCTTTAGACCTCAGCAGACATTCCAAATTTCTGGAGTTTTTTTTTAACAAACAGATTCCAATTTAAACTAATGTAAAGACACAATATTCTCTTTGATGTGTACTAATTCATTATGCTGAGTAGAGCATATAAAATAACTCTTCGGTAAGGTTATGATAAAAGAAGCAGCTCTGTAAATTGAATAACGTTGCTTGTATTTCAAAAGAATTTAAAAAATGGAACAACTAACATAACATTAATATCAAATAATATTAAATGATCATGTTCACATAAAGAAATATAATCAAATAATAGTTTAGTTTAATTTTGCCTACAAAAAATCTAATGATGTGCTATTTTGTTTTTTATTTATTTATTTTATGCTGGAGATTTACATCTTCTAAAAGTTGTATCATAATTTTTTTTGCATCCCCTCTGTGAGGTTTGGTGTATTTGATGCACTATAGCTGGTAAGTTAAAGCATTGTTACAAAATAGAAAGTCTAATTGTGCTCATATGTTAAGTTAAAATAGACAAAAATTTCGATTTTGAATTTTCTCTTTCCCTGGCTCAGATTTTGCAAGCAATCACGATAACATGTGGATATTTCTTCATTCTCCATTCCAGAGTCTGTGCAACAGATAAATCTTTTTTCTAATAAATTTCTTCTTTTTTTTAAATATTACAAGGTATATTGTTAATGAGATAAGACCATTATTAAAAACATATAACTTTTTAAATATAATTTTTATTTTAGAAATTATAACCTTTCATTCTTAGTTGATTACTTATTGTTACTCTTTATACACTCTGCTTTACCCCTGATCCAGAAAAAAAAATTGTATTTTTAAAATGCAAAATAATTTGTTTAAAATTACAATTTCTGTCACAAGATTTTTTTATTCTCTAACTAAATTTATTTTAAATTCTTTACAAGTGCATATAGTTTGTATCTAGTATATGAAATCTGTCCTATATATTCATGTGTAGTATCAGCTTTGTTCATATTGCTTGCAAGCAATCTCTATAGAAAAATTTTAAGTGAAATTTGAGTTATTTTTTTCCACTGAAAGCTATTATGAATTTTCTTAATATTTTTTTTGTAGTAAACAAGATTTTGAAAGAATTATAAATCCATGGAAAGAAACAGATGATGAAAAAGATGATTCTAGTTTGATAACAATGTCTGAAATTTTAGCTCTTAAAGACAAAGTAAGTTTGTGTAGTTTGAATTTTTATTTATTTGCAAAACTCCTGATATAATATGTGAACTAAAAATTTGAATATTTAAACATTATTTTTGTGATAATAACATCCATTTTAATTGTATTCTCTTTGTATAGACAAATCGTCATATCCGTTTAAGAGAATTGCTGATACAGCATTCACAAGACGCAACTTTAGTTGTCATGTAAGTTTTCTTTTCAGTTTTTTTAAGGATAACGAATACATAGGGATTTTGTGTTTATAATATTTGATATAACTGATAAAAATTTGTTGATATAACTTTGTTTTGCATTATTTGTAAATATATTGATTTATTTACAAGCAATAACATTAATTCTAAATTTTTCCCCCTATGTTTTGATTAGCTGATTGAGACATGATATTGTATGAGGCTTGTTTTTTAAGTAAGAGTTGTAAATAAAAACCAATTGGAAGAAAATTTTCAAAAGCCAAATATATTTACAGATTCTACTCACATTTCTCTATCTTGCAAAATAGTTGCCACGTTTTGTCATATCTTACAACTAAATTTAAAATATCCTATTCATTGGAATTTGCTACCTTCTCTGACAACCAAGAGGTCATGGTTGCTTTAACGTCTTCATCATCATTGTCAATACTGACCTAGGTACTTCAAGAAAGTTGCCTGGCAGAGTGCTTATGGCGAAGCATCTGTTTTCAACACTTTTTGTTTCAACTGAAGCTATTTTTTAGTCAATGATCACAGATGGACAAACTGAGCTCATGGATGTTGTCGTGGCCAGCTTTGAAGTTTCTGACCCATTTATATGCTTATCTTTCACTTGTGCTCGTAGCTCTGTAAACTTCACGAATCTGCCAGTGAATATCTGAATCAAACAGGCTTCTCTCCAACAAAAAATATGTCACTGACCATACCTCGCAGGGGACTGAGAATTCGATAATTTTGAAAATTTTAGATACGAGGAACAGACTCTGCAGAATACCTATACAGCTGACACCCTGGGGCACGACATAAACGTTATTGTGACAGGTTTCTCGCTGACAAAAAAGGTATCATTGTCCATACCTTGCACGGGACAGACGATTAGATAATCTTGAACATTTTTCAGGCTTGGAACAGACGGTGCAAGTTACCTATACAACTAACACCCTAAGCACAGTTTTCCCCTAGGAATCCTAGGGCATGATACAAGCAGTTATTGTGGCATGCGTACAACGAAGTGGCCCTTACTTAAAAAATATGCCTCATATCTCTTGTAATACTGTAATGTTTTTTTAAAATTAATCAAAAAAAAACCTTTTTAATAAATTTTAGCAGAGGGCAGAAAAACTATTATTTATTTATAACTATTATATTATTTTTGTAGTTTGCTACAACAACATTGTTACAACTGTAGTTAACTGAAACTGCAACTATTTTTTTATTACTGTAGTAACTACTTCTCTGCTTTGAGGAGATGGACTTTGCTGCAGAACTTAATTTACACTTATGTTCAAAATGATTTTTAAAAAAAAAAAATTGTCATATGTTTAAACATGTGGAGTTATTCATGTTTACATAAGCCAGTTTGTTATTCTAAAACATTTTCTATTTAGTTCATTTAACCTTCAAATTCTTGCAATTTCCTTCAGTTTTTAATGCTCTTTATTTCATCTAAGAAATTAAAGTACATCGAAAATAATAAATTAAAAATAACACCAATGTCTTACAAGTGTGCAGTGCACAAAAGAAGACCAACAAATAACTTTTGATTTATTGATCAGATCTTTGCGTTCAAGGTCTCAATCTTTATGGTTCGAAAAAGTAACCTCAAATATGCTAATTATTTAGTTCAGATAATATTTGAAGTCACAAAATTACTATTTTTTGTACTTTCCCTCTGAAGGTACATACCTTTTTTTTTTTTTCTTTTTTGACGGATTCAGATTTTGGACATCCAAAAAAAGGGGATAGCCATAATCAGTGGGGAAAAAAACAAGTAAAATGCAAAATTTGAGCGAAATCCGTCTAACAACTCCGAATACGGCTTTTTTTTATCCTATTTTATAACCTATCTATTTTATTTCATGACGATATGTATGTGGGTGGTAGGGGATGACACTTATAGACAAACTGGAGAAGGGGCTAAAAATATTGAACTGAAATTGTTACGTCATTTATAGACTAAGAATATGAACTCATTTATGGACTATATATCTAAAGAGTAGTTAATTCTAAAGAATTTTCTTTAATAATTTTTTTTAGAAAAAACTTCTGTAAAAATTACATTTCTTACTAAATTTCATAAATATTTTTTTTTTATTTATCTTAAAGAAAAATTGTTTTAAGTTTTAAGAAATAAGCCTCCAACAAGGTTAAAACCAGAAACCTTTTAGTTAGGAATCAGTTATTCTGTCACTGCTCCATACATTGATGCTCAGGCGACTCTCTTTTTTTTTTTTCAAAAATAAAAGCTTGGTATTTAATGAAAATTTTACTCACTTATGCTTCCCTTGCAAAACTTTTTATGGCTGTTACCTTGAGTCCCAAGTGCCATGTATGTTTGTTAAATTAGCTAAGATAAAATATATTTATGGTACAGACGCAGATAAGAGGTTGAGTATAAAATTTCTTGATACAGAAGGATATTCTCTCACCCAATCAATTTTCTTAGGTTTATTAAAAATATATGGATTCCTCAATTATCTAATCTAGCTAGCTGCTGTTAGTAAAATCTAAAAATCACACTTAATTTTTTAAAAAATCAATAGTTTAATAATTTTTTTTGTTCCTTTTTAAGATATATGTGTTTTTAAACCATGAATTTTATAAATTGCAGGACTTTGCCCATGCCCAGAAAAGGAACATGTTCAGCTCCCATGTACATGGCTTGGTTAGAAACCTTGACTAGAGGCATGCCACCATTTTTATTAGTGAGAGGCAATCAAACCAGTGTTCTTACATTTTATTCATGATGCTTTTTAGCTCCACACTATTTTTTTAAAATATAAGGAAGAATAAAAGCTTGCATGAGAAATAAAACATGCCTAGAAGAACAGTTTGTTTAAACTAATGATGTGTAAATATTTTATTATTATTTACTTATGACCAATATTTAATATTGATGATATTTACATAAAGTATATATTAAATAGATTGTGACTTTTACATAAATTAAGTTTTTTGATGATTACAATTTATTTGTTCTAAAAAAGGCATACATGATAAGTATAGATACAATTCATTGTAAAATTTCAGTATTAAAGCAAGTGATATTATTGTTTCTGGTTGCATGTCGTGCCTTTTGTGTTGGATGCCTTTTCATTCTTATAATTTTTAATAATAGTAATAGTCAAATTAAATCGAAGAAACAATATAACTGAAAAAAGTAAGATTATTTTTATCAAACAGGAGGTGCAATGTATCTTTAAGATAATTTTTTAAAATTCTTAACTATTGATCTCCTAACAATTGTAGTTTATTGAATATTGAATTGTAAAATACTTTTTTAGAAATGAATGATGCTTAAATTACAACTTGCTTGCAAATTTTTTTTTAGTTCCTAATGTTTATAAAAAAAGAAGAGAAAAAAAATTAAAATATATTTTCTTATTTATTAAAAAATGTGTTGTATTTGTCCATTTTAATAAAGTCTCTTTTAATCTCTTTTATATGAACTTGTGTAAGATTTTGAAACAATTTGTGTTTTCAATTTTTTAAACTTTTTTTTTTAATAAACATGTGAATAATACAGTAGTGTTACTCTTCTATTCACTAAATAGATTTCTCTGATAAAAAAAAACTTTTTAGACAAAATTTTTAATTATGCACAATTGTAAGATTAAAACAATAACTTAATTTTCAACAAATATTAAGCAATGATGTTGAATCATATTTGATTGTCAGCATTTTGATTTAAAATTAAGACTTGATTAACAATTCTAAAATTGTAACTTGTTAAACCGGGGGCTGTCTGCAAAAATTTATTGAAGGGATTGAGTTACTTTATCTATAGTATCTGACTTGTTGTATAAACTTTTTTAACCTTTAAATAATTTTAAGAAGGAAAAAACTTTATTTCATTTAATTGAATAGCCATGAAATTTTATTTGGATGTTGAGAGTCCATTAACTTATTTGTTATTTAAAAAAGATACAGTAATAAAGCAAATATTGTACAATGGATATCTTTTTTTCTAATATTCAATAAATATCTTTGTATCATTCATTAAAAATTATTTCAATCTCTTTAATAATTTAATTGAGTTATTCCCGGATTTATTTATTTATTATTTTTTTTAAATAATGTTTGGATGCATTTGATATTATTGAAACATTTCTTTAATGTTTTTATAATATCAGCAGCTAGGATGCATTTCACAAATTAGTAAAAAAAAAATTTGATCTTGTGAATTTTGATGAGTGGCACCTCTAGTTAAAATATTCTAAAATTTACGTTTTGAAAATTATTTTTTTTATCAAATACTTTTTCTTTCGTATAGTCTAACCTGTATAAAAACAGCTAATGTTTGTAAATTGTAAGTTTTATTTGAAATCTAACTAGCTTTTTTTCTAAATATGTATAAAATGAGATTTATATATTTTTTTTTTTTTTGGAAATTAAAATAAGCAGTTACCAGTATATTATTTAGAATATAATTTTAAAATTTTATTATTAATGTATATTATTCTAAGAAATAAAAGAAATTGAAAATTTGTTAAAGTGTTTTGAGAAACTTGCACTTAAAATAAATCTGGAATAAAAATTATTTTATTATACAAATATTTTACTGTTGTTAAAAAAAACAATTAAACTAATTTATTAAATCAGGTTACCACTTTACATAGTTAGGTTACCTTGTAAATATCACTGTTATATATTTGATAAACAATTTAGCTTTTACGTATATTTTTGGCTATTTTAGAGTAAGGGTTAACAGAATAATTTTGCAAAGTCTTTAAAATAACTGATAAAACTGTGTATTTGTGAATGGTTTACATTTTAGCTTTATATTAATAACATTATTTTCTTACCGTCTGACTAAATATTTGTAAATTATAAAATGAAATGAAGAAAACCAATCTTAAAGTTAGACACTCAAACTGTGCCTTCAGTGAAATCTGTCCAAAAATTATAGACCATTGATTGATCTTTATTTTAATATTGCTATTCCTTTTTTTTATGAATCTCATTTTTGTAATAAATGTTTGTTTTTTTTAAAATTATGAATGTCTAAGTGTAGGGGTGCATAACCTGCGGCCCGCCGACTGTTGATGTGCGGCTTGTAGAAACTTCTGAATGTAATGATTTTTTATTTTAGAAAAACTAAAGAATGTCAAAAGTTTTGAATCGTATATTTGAATCATCACTTTTCAATGCTCAATTCGCACTGATTCTATTGTGAATCTGTTGTTTCTCAATTGCTTTTTTATTGATTGTTATGAAATTCCACATGCTTTTAAAGGACCCAATATTTTTAATATGATATTAGAATAAGCCAATTTCGAATTAGAGTAATCTTTGCCGTGTTCACCAGAAATCCAAGTGACGTTTCGATCGTTTTTTTTTGGCATTTATAATTACTAATTTCCGTGCACCTAATTTATCACTTTCTGGCTATTCCATCATAAATCCAAGTGACTTTTAAAGTGTTTTTTGGCATTTATAACCACTAATTTCCATGTGGTTTATAAATTCCCAATACTTTTATTACTACTCGTGAATTATAAATGGTGCATTTAACTTATCACTTTTTATATGCTTTATTTGTGCCAATTTCATCTTTTATTTAGATGAAGTTATTGGTATGTTTTTACAACACGCTTGTTTCAAATCACACATTTAAATAATTATTTTTTGACGAGCTGTTTTTTTTCCCTTCAAATTTCATCAATAATCCTAGTGATGTTGAGATAATTTTTTGGCATTTATAACTATTTTCATATGGTTTATAGATTTATTTTGATATTAAGACTCGTGAGTTATAAATCGTGCATTTAATTAATCACTTTTTGACGTACTTAATTTGTGCCGATTGCATTGTTAATCCATATTGTTTTTTAATCATGTTTTCAGCAGTTTCTGCCATGCATTCTCAAAAAGTTTTAATAATACCGATTTTTATAACAACGTATGAATTTTAAATCGCTCATTTAAATAACTATTTATTGGCGCTATTTATTTGTACTAATTTAATCTTATTTTTTGCAATTATTGCCATGCTTTTCTTTGTGATATTGACGATCTCGTTACTTTAACTACGATGTTAATATGACACGCAAATTTCTAATCGCGAATTTAAATAATCACTATTTGATACAATTTATTTGTGAATATTTCTTCGTACATATAAGTTATTTTTTCATAGTTTCGTTATTGCACCATGCATTTGTACATGGTATTTTGAATCCTAATATTTTCATACAATGTTATTGCACCATGAAAAATTCGAAAACATGAGGAATATGAGAGTTTTTAAATTGCTTACAGTTCATAATTTTACTTTGTTTTAAATTTTTTTAGTGTAAGTTATTTTTTTTTAAGGAAAAAACTAAAAATAAAACGTTTTCTATTTAAAATTCTAAAAACCTATAATAATTCAAGAAATAAAAATATCAGAAAAATAATACTATATCAATATGGAATTTTATTTTGTACCATAATGAATTTTTTGTTTTAACATTATAAATTTTCTCTAATAAAAAAATTTGTATTACTCTATTAAATGCATATATTTTTTTGCACTCTCATTCTGTAAGCTCTCTATATTTTTTTTTTGTCAGAATTAATATTTCTCCCCCAATATCTATATCAAATTAATTGTGAAAAAGAAAAAAAAGTTTTTTAAAAAAAGTACATTTTTTTATTTTTAAACAAATTCAAATAAAAGCATTTAATTTTCTGCAAATATTTTATTAAGTTTACGGATAAAAAATTTAATGCTTATAACACTAATGATTGTATAAAAATTATCATATTTACCACATGATTAAATATACGTGCGGCCCTTATTCAAAAGTTGTGCACCTCTATGTTAGTATTTATTTCTTAATGTATATTATTACATTTCTAACCAAACTATTCCATTCAATGAATGTCTTATTTACATTTTCCCTCCTAACAGGGTTGTGATTTCTTCCCGGACACTATAAGAAAATAAAAATGACCTACATGAATTGATATTACACATGACCCAAATATAATTTGCAGGTTTTTGCATTTTGTGTCAGTGATGGCTCTGGAATTGCCTAATAAAGTAGGATTCCAATTGTTTAAAATAGAGGCACCTAAATAAATGCAGGGTAGAAAATAATAGTTCATTCTAAAAACCTGCCATTGATAAATTAGGGACTCCTCTTGCAGTTGGGGTCTAGTTTGCTATCAAGGAATACCCATTTTTTAAAAACTGACTTTATTTTTGATCCAAAGCATATTTATCATGATATTTTGCAATTTTCTCATTTTTCCAACACTATGTAATCACGAAGAAAAAGAATATTAAGAGGATTTAAAACTCAAGAAAGTATATATGGTCAACAGGAACATAAACACATCATTAGAACTAAAGCAATTCTTTTTTTACTATCCAATGTATGATTTGATATTTTCACATACATGATAAAGATAACTTTAGATATAATGATCTCAAACTAAGATGCAACCTACATTAAAAATTTGTTAGTGTTTTTAAAAGCCTGCACCTAAAATAAATCTGGAATAAAAATTCATTTTATCATACGAATCGGACATTTCACTTGGGGAAAAAAAACTATTTATTAAATCAGGTTGCCAGTTAGGTTACCTTGTAAATATCACTGTTAAATATTTGATAATTAGCTTTTATGCATATTTTTGGCTATTTAAAGTATGGGTTAACAGAATAATTTTGCAAAGCCTTTAAAATAACTGTGATAAAACTGTATTTTTGTGAATGGTTTACATTTTGATTGCTGTGCTTTATATTAATAACATTATTTGCATACCGTCTGTGTGTAAAATGAAATGAAAAAAAACCGGTCTTTAGACACTCAAACTGTGCCTTCAATGAAATCTGTCCAAAAATTATAGACCATTGATTGATCTTTGTTTTAATATTGCTATTCATTTTATTTTTATGAATCTCATTTTTTGTAATAAATGTTTTTTTTTTTAAAACCATGAATGTCTTAGTATTTATTTCTTAAGGTATATCATTACATTTCTAACCAAACCAATCAATGAATGTCTTTTTTACATTTTCCCACCTAACATGAAACAGGGTTGTGATTTCTTCCTGGACACAGGAAGAAAATAAAAATGACCTACATAAATTGATATTACACATGACCCAAATATAATGCATAGGTTTTTATATTCCTTGTCATTGATGGCTCTAGAATTGCAAAATGCAAGACAGAAAATAATAGTTAATTTTTAAAACCTGTCATTAATAAACCAGGGACTCCTCCTGCAGTTGGAGTATAGTTTGCTGTCAATGAATGTCTATTTTTTAAAAACTGAGTTCATTTTTGATCCAAAGCATATTATGGTCAATAAGAACATAAACTCATCATTAGAATTTAAGCAATTTTTTTTTTTTTTAACTCTCCAATATATGATTCGATATTTTCACATACTTATCATAAAGAATAAATAACTTTAGATCTAATGATCACTAAAATGCAACCTCAATGATTAGAAAGACTAACATAAATATGCTAATAAGTAGACATGAATTCAAAATAATTTTTTCACAATAAATTAGGGTTAATTACTGGCTAGAGGTTCATTGGGGATGCATCAATTTGTTACCTATTTTTCTTTCTACCAGAAATTCTTGTGCTGGAAAGAACAGATTTTCTTCATAGAAACTCATTAAGAAAAGTATTGCAGTCAACTAGGGTGATCAGATTAATTAGAGAAGTTAATATTTGTACACTTGAAGTATTGCGTTTCTAAAGTATGGCAGTATTTAGATTAAATTGGGAAACATTAGAATCATGTGAAAATAAAACTAATGTGATAACCATTTTTTCCCCTCCATTTAATGGGTAATTTAAGAATTCATAGTCTATTTCAATTGACAAAATTTTAGAGTCTATTTACACAGTGTATGTAAATTGAAAATAATTCAATCATAAGGTTGTCTCAAATTTTTTTTACATGTTATGAAGATTAGTGCGTGAAGAACACATAGAAGTTGATTTTTGTTAAGGATTATTTAAATCCAGTTGAAGATAAAATACTATTTAGATGGAACAGTTAGTACATTAGAAACATCTTTATTCGCTGATCAGAAGCTCCAATAAAATGCGTCTTCAGTCTAATGTGCACATTAGTCATTTTTAACAAAAATTACTTAATCGATAAAATGTTGAATTTAGAAAATGGAAAGGAATGCCTAATTGAAAGGAGATGGATCTCAAACAATGCATATCACTCTGATATGAAATGATAAATGTTAGCATTAAGACACTGAAAATTTTGTCAAGAATAAGGAATTCGTGCTTAAACTATTTAACAAGTATCAATTATTGCCAAGGTCTTCCCTCATAGCCTTAGACATCCAAAATATGGTGATAAAATAAAAAATGTCTTATTTTAAAATACTGAAACATCACAGTAAACCTTTGGTCCTTGATTTCTAATTATTGTATTTTTATTCTGATTCTGTTCAGAAAGTAATATCGTTTTCTTTTTCAATGAACTTGAATGGATTTTCTTATAGTAAACAAATATTTTATAGAATTATATATTGTCCTTTCTGGTTCAATACCTTTTGCCATCTTTTTGGCAGTAGCATGATTCCAGCGTCATCAAACTTTTGCTGTTTGCAGGCAAATGACTGATCCAGGTGATTTTTTACCTCTTAAAGTAAAGGTTTTAGCTCCTAACATTTTGTAGAGACCTCAACAAATGTCGTAAAAAACTCAATCTTATCCCAGTGAGGACATTCAACTTTAAATACAACAGATAATAAATGAAAATACGTAAAAAGCTTTTTAATCATAGTAATTGCATTTAAAAAGTAATTGAATTGAATTTAAAAGAACACTAAAAAGCTTTTAAATATTTGGTTATGTACTAGATGCTTGTTAAGATTTAGTAGACCAAGAGAACATTTTACAAAATAAAATTACGATTACATTGTATTACAATAAAACAGAATAATAGAACTTCATAAATGAATTTATTTACTATGTGCAATATATACACACTTTCATTAATTTGGGTTTGTGTAATCATAGAAATATTGAAATGCATTAAACAAGAAAGCATATAAAGTGACAGATATTTTTCTTCACAAAAAATATCTACTTTTTTACAATATTCAAGTCAATTCTAATCTAATAACAATAAATCAACAATCATGAATAATAGAATTTTCTATAAGTCAGAATTTTCAAAAATTTAATGCTTGAATTATCAAGACTTTTTAGTGCATTTAAGTCATATTTAAAACAAAAATTCAGATACATCTCATTTTAAAAATATTTAATAATTATATATCCCTACAGAGTAAAATTATTTATAAAAAAATAATAAAAATTGACAGTGTAAAATGAGCCTTTAGCAATAAGAATAAAACAGGTGAAAAACTTAATGCGTCGTCATTATATAAAAGTTTTTCAACTTTGCTTTAGTTTTTATTGATAAAAATTAACTATTTAAACATAAATTTAAAAAAATTATGCCATGAATTCATTTTAGATGATTTTTGATTTAATGAATATATTTATGCTCAAGATTGATATATTATGTTCATATTTTTATCTTTTGCCCATTTCTTCCAATTCGTCAATTTCATTTGCATCTACTTTCTTGATTTTCTTTTGAAAATGTTCTTCAATTTGTCTTAGAACAGCCATAGATTTCTTTCCATCAATCATGTTGATGGCCAGTCCAGATTTTCCAAATCGTCCCGTCCGACCTATGCGATGAAGGTAAGTCTCACAATCTGCTTCACCAGCTTGATTCATTGGCAAATCAAAATTTATAACCACAGTTACTTGCTCCACATCAATACCACGAGCACAAACATTGGTGGTTATCAAAACCTGTAATACAACAGAAATAAATAAATCACCCTTATATAAATATACCCTTTTGTTACTGTGGAAACAACTGTTTACATTTGTTATGGTAATAGAAAATTCCACATGTTGCACTTGAATTTAAATTGAATCGATATGTGCTTACTGGGTTTTTAAAAATCTCATTCATTATGACAACTCAACAACACTAAAAGTACTAGGTGCTTAACATTTTAACCATCTTTTTTGACCTGTAATATTTATTTATTTTGATGGCAAAGGAATAATTAACTTTGCTTCTAATTTTTTGTAGATTCAAGTTCATAAAAAACCATTTAAAATTCCAAAAATATTTTATAATTCATTAAATATAAATGTCCTAAAGCTAAAAATATATTCAGAACTAAGCATTGAATCTTATTTTGAGCTATAATGCATCATAGCACAAAATAGTTAAATTATTTTGGAATAATCTCATAAAATTAAATTATTTTAGACCCCATAAAATTTTTTGAATTAAAATATTTAATTTGCATTTACATTGCTCAGTAAAATAATTACTTTTTACTTTTCTTCTATGAACATTACATTGAATTTATTTTAAAATAAACTTTTGTATTCTGCAACGTGATAAAAAAAACATTACTTTTTTCCCATCTTTATATTTTTTTCGATAAGTCTAATTTTTGACCAGAGGAAATATATATATTTTTGAAAAATATCAGTTAGGTAATCTTCAGTTCTGAATGAATTTCAATATTTAATAAAAGCATTTAATTTTATGCAAATTCATTACTAAATTGGCTGATAAAAAGTATGTAGTGTCTTTTAAAACACTGAGAGTTAGATAAAAAACCGTCAACCAGGCTAAATACTTGGGCATGCGGACTTTCATTGCTCAACCTGCTGTATAAGTGGCCCTTCACTCAAAAAGGCTGATGCATCAATGCAACATTTATGAGTGTTGTTGGTGTCTAACCTCTCGCCATTAAAATTTGGATTATTCTAAAAAATTTTCTGACATTTTCATTTAAAGTATTTTATATATAATATGCAGCTACAGAATTAAAAATTATTAATATTTGGCAACAAAAGGCTTTAGTAGAGTAGCATAAATTTAAACATTTCGAAATTTAAATGCCATTTTTACATAGAAGCATATTATTTTATATTTATGTTTTTTTAAAATTGCTTGTGCTGGTTAAAAGTATTATTTCTTGAACTTTTGATAACTTAGTCAGCCTACATATTTGTTTCTACCATGCTGTAGTAATGCATGTAGCATTTTAATAATAAGCTTAGTGAGTTTAAATTAGGTATTTTACTTTACTCAAAATATCACCATCTACTATTTTTTTAAAAACCTTTTTAACACAGCTGTTTCCATGGATATAGAATATTGAAACAATGAAAAAACCAGTTTTGAATTATTGCCAATTGATAAAAATAAAATATCAATCAGTAACGAAAAACGCAGAGCCAATCGGAGAAGCCGTTCAAACTATATTAAGAAAATTTAATCTGTAATGTCACAATAAATTTAAATTTTTCGATCTTGCATCCAAACTTTATGACACCTGAAACCACCCCATGAAAATATTACCAACCACAGAAAAAAAAACATGACCAAAATATGTTAGAAAGATACTTTTGTATCAGAGTAAAACTATTATTAAAATTGAAAGAACTTAATTAACTTTTTAACCCCATAAATTTAATATCAAGACTAGATGTCTGAATTAGAATTGTTTTTAAAAAAATAATTAAATGATATTATTAAAAAAAGGGCGGGAAAAAAAAGAAAGACACTTCGATGATTTAAATAATGAAAAAAAAAATTTAATATGCGTTTCTCAAATCTTTTGATAATTTTGTCATATCCAAAGATTTCAAAATTAAATTTGATATTTTTCAAATCACGGCCACCTTGCTAATCTGTCAATGAATAATTCTATTCTCAAACAATTCAAAGGTGACATTATACTTACTTTTTCTTGTCCTTTCTGGAAACGAGTTAAAACAGCGATACGCTGTTCCACACTTAATTCTCCACTTAAAAGAGCAACATTGTGACCATCTTTTGACATTTTCTCAGCTAACCAGCCAGCTGTCTTTTTAGTGTGGCAAAATATAAAAGCCTGGCCAATAGAAATAGTTCCATAAATATTGCATAAAGCTTCATACTTTTCTTCTTTTGTATCACAAACAATGTAATATTGTTTAATATTGTCCAAGCTTTCCTCCTCCCTTCTTAATCGAATGATGATAGGATCTGGAACAATAAGTTCAGCAAAATCTATAACTTCCGAAGAATAGGTAGCAGAAAACAACATCATTTGACAATCCTTTGGTAGTTGTTTATGAATACGAATGGATTGGTCCTGATAACCTTGTGTTGCTATCATTACATCAGCTTCATCCAAAACAAACACTTTAATTTTCTTTAAGTCAAAGAATTTGAAGCGAACAGCCCAGTCAAACACTTTGCCAGGAGTTCCAATCAGAAAGTGTTCTTCTATCTTCGTTCCCCTCTCCAAGTGTTCACCTCTGACAGCATATCGAAATTCAATATTTGGACAGAACTTTGCCATCTGCTGTGCAACTTTTCCAGTTTGCATAGCTAACTCATAAGTTGGGGAAAGTACCAGGACATGCGGGTATTTGAGAGATGGATCTACACGACTTAGACTAGCCAATGTGAAGGCAGCTGTTTTGCCAGTTCCACTCTGAGACTGTGCAATCATGTTTTGGGGTGGATCAGCAATTAAAGTAGGAAGGGCAGTTTCTTGTATTTTAGAGGGAGAATTAAAACCCATGTTGTACACACCTTTTAACAGTTCAGGACGTAAGTTCAGCTCATCAAATGATTTCACAGAATATAAAGGTGAGTTGGGACTTCTCTGTTGAACATCAATATCACTTGTGACATTTATCAAATGAGATCTGACTAATTTTTTCATAAGTGATATTTCTGCAGGATCCAATTCAGGTTCTTCATTTTCAAGAGCTTCACTTTTAGCTTCTAAATTGTTTTCCGGTACAGAAGCAGGAGGTGGAGTGGGACCATTTATGTTTAAGTTACGAAGAGAAGATAAATTTTTTTCTTGGACGTCAGCAGAAAATCCCCAGTCCTCAACATCAGCCATTATTTTTTGCTCTATAAAAAATATATATATATCAGATGTTAACTTTGTATTAAAATACAAATTTATACCCACATATTTTATAACGAAATATTAAAAATAAAACTTGTTATAATGTTACAAAAACAAAACCAGGCCTCAATCATCTAGTACAGTAATTTAAAACATCTTTCTTGAATGAAAATATACATAATATTTATCAAAGATGAATAATATAATTCATCACTTTTTCAGAAATTAAAGATATAAACTGCAACTTAATTGACAGACTGATGAATTAATATCAAAATTCAGCAGTTTCATTATCTATTTACTGGTTTTAGTTAAGGTGTTGAATATGGGCACCTTGGTTTAGTTCTAGATTTTGAGCAGTTTTGCTGAAAACCCATGGTTTCTGGTCCATGATATTCTTTGTTCTAGAATGATGTCTCCTTCCAGTTATTGCAACTTTTGTTTACCATTACAGGATTGCTTCTTAGTTTCTTTTCTAATTGTTAAATATAAGAAGAGCCCCAGATTGTACACTAATACTCAGTTTTTAATATCCCAGACCTTGTACTTACAAGTATCGGTATTGGTACCCGTTCACTCCAAATATATTGGGGAAAAACTATTTACATTATTTTCATATGATTTTAAAAAAAATATATATGTAGAGGAGTGTCAGGTTTAAGATTTCCGTAACCTGACCTACAGAAAAATAATCATGATGCTTTGGAAACTTCCGAGCAGTGGCCCACGAGGAACTAAAACAAAAAATATTGCAGAATGAGATAACTCCTAACCATCCCCGGACATGTGAACCAGAATTGAAATTTTATATTGAAAATTGTTTTAAAAATAGATAAGTTTAAAGTCAATTTAATGGCACGTCAGATTACAATACGAAAAAAAAACCTGTGATGGGGAGTATCAAATAGTTATATACTCTTCAGGTAGGTCTCCTTTAGTGTGTGTGTGTTTTTTTTTTTTTTTTTAGTTTCTGTTGAGCAACTGCCTGGTGGCCCTAAAATTTAGGCAATTCTTTTAGTGCATGGGGATATTTCTGAATCATATTTTGTTGCACCAACTGCAATCACCAAATGGATTTCAATCATGCAAATGTTTTGAAAAAAACATAAAGGTTTGTCCGGGGATTGCTAAGAATTATACTTTGAAGTTGGTCTCCGTCTGATATTATTTTTTTTATGTTTCATGTGAGCCACTGCCCCCGGAAATTGCCAAGACTTTGCGATTATTCGGCGGCTGATCAGGATACAGAAATCTTCTCTAGTACATGTAATAACATTGGGGATTATTTCCCTATCGGTAGTTGTTCGTGCCAACTACTATCGAGAAGGCACTTGTATTTTTGCAATTCAATTTTTCATTTCAATAAATATATTCTTTAAAAAATTGTATTACAAAAAATATAGTAATTATAACTATATATAGCGGTTTTCCCAGGAGTAGCTAAGAGGTAGACTTTTCGATTTGGTTTTTCTCTCCAATATAATAATTTTTTATGTGAATCTTTTCTTGAATGCTTTAAATCTCGCCACTGCACTATACCTTTCAAAAATCTTTTTTTTAATTGATTTTTTTAAAAAGTTATTATAATTAAAAATAACATTTATACAGATAAGATTTTATGAATGAAGAATAATCACAAATTTGTTCACTGAATGGCAAAGAAAATCAATTATAACTTAAATTATGATTAATACTGTCTATACTAGAATCAAATTGCCCGGCCTCACAGAACAAATAAATAATCATAGAATTACTATATTTTTCAAATTATTCTGAACAATAATCTTCAAAAATAAATGTTCAGAGACAGTCATTAAAAAATTTAAAAAATAGGATAAAAGATAAAACTTACTATAGAAAGCAAGCTTCTAAACCAAAAACAGAGATACAACAAAAAAGATTCTTCAATTCAGTTCAGTCATGAAATGAAATATCACTTTCTTCGTTGGACGTTGTTTAGCAGCCGCTACTAATAATTAAATGGATAAATCTTATTGGCTTACTTCACCATTGTTGATAGCGTTGTCGCGTAATCGTTTGCTAGATTTGGCTACTTGATCTCTTCTTAGCGTTTTCAAATTATTTTTTGAGTTCTCAAATTCCTATCGTATATTCTCAATTCGCGATCGCAACGCTCGAGTACGCCGTCTAGCGGGAGCCTGTAAATATCGGACATTAATTTATCACGTTTTCATTTAGTTCCATCAAAGTCATTGACTGAATCAGACGCCATTTTTTAGCAGCAAATAAGAAACAAAATTTCCCTAAGGAAAAGGCCGAAGAACTTGAAAAAAATCTCCAGAATATTAGTAAATCTTTCAGGAACAGAACACGCCAAACATTTGAAGAAAAATTCCT